GCCTGTGTGATGGGGGTCTCCATGGTGCTGTGGTTCCGGTTGACCTTGAGCTCACGTGCCTGTGTGATGAGGATCTCCATGGTTCTGTGGCTCCGGTTGACCTTGAGCTCACATACCTGTGTGATGGGGGTCTCCCTGGTTCTGTGGTTCCGGTTGACCTTGAGTTCACGTACCTGTGCGGTGGGGGTCTCCCTCATTCTGTGGTTCCAGTTGACCTTGAGCTCACACGCCACACAGTCCGTCAGCTCTGATTCCTAGAGCCCCGGTGGAGTAGGGCCAACCCAGGGTCAAATAATGGTCAAGTGATGGCCTCTCGGGTCTGTGAACCAGAGCCCTGGGCCCGTTTGATGATTAGGTGTTGTCGTACCATAGGGTTGTCCAAGGTCAAGTTTCTGCATGGCTTTTGTAAAATGCTTCTGCTGCAAGAGGAATTACAGATATGTCTCTCCAACTTCAAGAGGATATGAAGAGTACTTTCTATTGGTGGAGTTCATTATAATAAGACTAGTTAAAAGTCATAGTTAGTAGGTTAAATGTTACATATAAGGTTAATAAGAAAATTTGGTTTTATAGAACAAACATAAAATGAGTAAATGCAGTTTCTTACTGCCAGTGAGTATCCTGGTTGGGGCTATAGCACGAACTGCTGTAGTTCGGGTAGAAGATGAGGGACGACTCCCTGGAAAAAGGTCTGGGTGTAGGACAACAGGACAGAGAACACAGGGTGCGTAAGCTGGGCCCCCGCCCCACACTGACTCCTGGTACATTCCAGGGTCTTTCAGGTGGTGATGGCAAATATCCTCCTCTTTTCTCATCTTCTGGACAAAATGGTGAGGGCTAGGTTGTTGCTTTCTGTTCTCAGAGTTTCTTGTTCTCTTAAAAACCGTTTCTCCCGTTGAAGCTTGTGATCCCTGATCTGAATTGAATTTTCATTAATGCCAAATCAAAAATATTAGATACCTTTAGTAGCATTTCCACAGTGGTCCTCGCTGCCCCCACAGCCGCGGGGCCTGTGGTTCAGGCGTGGGAGTGGCGTGGTGTTGCAGGAGGAGCGTGGACAGGCGTCCCTCCCAGTGCAGTGCCATCTTGCTGAGCAGCCTGGCCAGTCTGAGTATATCCTCCCCATTGTCTGTTGAGGTTCTCTGTGCTTGCTCAAGTTTGCCTTTATTGCAACTGTTTCAACAGATTCTTCTGCTAACAACTGTTTAGTCCTGGTCAGAAAATCCTTCCTATGGGGGAGAGCATGCCGTGATTGCTGAGCCCGCACACTTTGGAGGGCGAGAGGTGCACAGTCGGGGCTTTCCCAGGTGAGCTGGGATGTGCCCCTGCTGACAGCCAGAAGGTTTCTAGACATTTCAAGCCTTTCAAAGACAAACAGTTTTTTAAAGTTGCACTTGCTGAATTATTTTGTGGTATATCGGTATAACTTGACGGGTGCTGTAAATGTAGAATATGTATAAATGTAGAATTCAACCATTGTAAGTATACTTTTATGCCTGTGTAGTCACCTACACACATTTTTCTGAGGTTCTCCTTGGGAATTCCTTAACCTAATGTCCCGCCCTGGAGAGACACTCGCCTCCTGTGGCGGGTTGTGCTCCCTAACACAAAGCAAACACACTGCTACGTTCTTTTTTCTTTCCCCCAAATTCCTTTACCCAGTTACCCAAATACATACCTTTAGCAAGTTTGACAAACTCTCCACAGTGTTGCTTCCTGAATTTCATCAAGTGGAGCTGCATTTTACCGGATCCAGTATATTACTCTTTTCTCAGAAGTGTGAGCTACTCATGGAAGACCACAAGAAAAAGGGAAATTCTCCTTTTGTCAGTGTGTTGGAAGGCTGACAGTGTATTTCCTAAGGACGCTCCGTGTGGTCCGACATTAGGGGACAGGCAGCCCTTGCTTCCTGTGTGGTCTCAGTGCTGCAGGTACTTGTTGGTCTACAGATCCTGGCCCCATCCGCCCGGGCCTGTGTAACGCAGCATTGCCTGAGGGCCACCACTTTCTGAGTTCTGTTTCTGTTGAGAACGCAAGCGTCCTTATTGCATCCTGAAGGTGAGAAATGCACTAGTTCTGAGCTTGAGCGCCGATGATGTGGAGCACTGGCTTTCTGTGTATTGATTCAGAAACCAGCACGTATGCACATACACTCTGCGCTGGAGGCCCAAGAGTGAAAATGACAAGGTCCTGTCCTTGGAGCTCATGGCCTAGGAAGGGACGAAAGCACAGAGCTCATGGTGAATGCTGCTCCTATCAGGGCCTCTGCCCTGGGGCTGCATTTCTGGGGGCATGAAACCTGGTGGGGACGGGGGTGTGGGAGGAGTCGAGCACTTTCCAGGAGCAGCTATGCTGAACCAGAGTTGGGTCACAGAAGAACTTGGAAAAGGCGTTATGTACAAAGAGTAGCCTAGTGTTTTGGAGGACCTGCAAGTAGTTAATAAATAGTTGGAGTGAAATGTGTGGTGAGTGAAGAGCAGAAGTGAAGTCAGACATGAGCAGGGGTGGATTAAACGGTTTCATGTGCTAAATTTAGGTTATACTCTCTCTTAGGTTTAATAAGAACTTCATAATTCTCAGAGTTTATAATGATTTCCACAGCGAGTCTTCTTGTTTAATATAAAGCGTGGCTCTTTTCCTTTTATTTTTTTCTACCATTTAAACCGTTTTGAAGTGTGCAATTCAGTAGCATTTAGTACATTCACAATGTTGTGCTATCGTCACCACTATCTAGTTCCAGAACATTTTTGTCCCCCCAGAAGGAAACACCATGCCCCTTAAGCATGTCTCCTCTGACCCCCACGCCTGGCAACAACTGATCTGCTGTCTCTATGGACTCACTTATTCTGGGTATTTCACATATAACTAGAGTTGGAAAAGAAATCCTTGGCTTTAAAACTGTGTTATTAGAGACCGGCTTTAGCACAAGAGTAGATTTCTGGAAAGGCCTCTGGGGTCTGGGAACTGCAGAAGGAACATTAAGTGGGGTCCCAGGAGCCGGTGGCAGTGGGGATTCTGTCGTGGCCAGGACTCCTGGCTCCATTGCCACTCCCTTTCTCTCTGCTCAGCAGCTCCCTGCACCTTCCAGGGCTCTCAGGAAGGGAAGCTGCCTCAGCCTGGGGTTTAATATCCTGCGAAAGGGCAAGACCCACCCCTGGTCACGTGCAGACTCGCAGGTGACATGGGTCCCTTGTGCTGCCCACACTGGGGCCTGGTGGGGGCACAGATGGCCAGAGTTCTGGGCATCTGTCAGCCTTCACCTTGGCCTTCTCCACGCCTTGGTGTGATTTTCTCTGGTGAGCTGAAGCGTCTGGTGTCCTGCAGTCACAGTGTGAGCGGCCTGCAGGTAGAGAGCAGTGCAGAGAGTTCAGGAAGCACATCCTAGAGAGGGGAGGGGGCTCTGGTCCCAGATAGGGGGAGGGGCTGTTGGTCATTGGGTCCCAACTTATTAATTGGCTGAAACTACTTCTGGTGAAAATTATGTCAAGAACCGAAATGAAGCTTAGGCCCCCAGTCTGAGGATGGCTGCTTTTTTTTTTGCATGTCTGTAGTGGAGCACTGTCTGAGTGCCAGGGCTTTGTGTGTGGGGAGGCACACAAAGTGAGGTGGCAAGCCTGGAAAAGGTCTAACACACCCCTCCCCCTGTCTCTGGCTCCTCCTTGATGTTTTGGCCCAGGAATTGAGGTTTTGGTCACAGGAAGCTGTTCAATAAAAGCATCATGGCACTGGTCTGCTCCAGGTGCCTGGCGCCTGCCCCCAGTGCCCCCAACCCCACCCAAGCCCTGAATCTGCCCAGGCCAATGCTTGGCATTATCCTTGAGTTCCTTCTTCTACTCCATCCTGCTTCCAATCCACAGCCTGTCATAGCTTCTGGCTTCTACAGGTGTCCAGAACCGACCCCTCCTCACCACCTCCACTGCTGCCCACTAGTCATGGCTGCCATGTCTGATCCAGTGGCCTTTGCGTGGGCCTCCCGGGGCTGCTGTGACAAATCACCACAAACCAGGTGGCTTAACACAGCAGAAATGTGTTCTGTGTAATCATTTTCCGTGGGCCAAAATCAAGGTGTGGGCCGGGTCACCCCCTGGGAGGCTCCAGGGCGGAATTTGTTTGTGCCTCCCTCAGCTTCTGCTGCCCGCATTCTTTCCCTTGTGGCCGCATACCCCAAGGATGAACCTCTGGCTTTGATTTGCAGTAGACTCAGCCCTGCGGCTACAGGAGATAAGGATTTCTTTGGGGCAGACATGGATCACTTATGTAGTGGCTGAGCTGGGAATTCCAATCCCTAAGTTCATCCTTCCCTTACCTGCTTTGTCCAGCGCAGTTAGAGGCAACCAGCCAGTCTCACTATACTCGTTAGTTTGACAGAAATGTTGTGAGGCGCCTTGCCTCTTGTAAGTATTTGATCAGGGGTATCTGGTGGTGATATTTGCACATCTCTATTGCTACATCATATCCTGGACTATCAGTGCTCTCTTAGTATTAGAAATAAGCCATTAGTGTCTTTAACTCCAATCAGATTAGAGAACCAATTCAGAACATGCTTCCTTGAGACTCTAGCCTCCCACAATCTTTTTTCTGTATAGTAGTCAGACTAATGCCTCCAAAACATAGGTCAGATTATGCCACTTTTGTGCTCACACCTGTCTCCTTCAGAATGAAATTCAGAGTCCCTGGTCTGCAGACCCCCATCTGACCTCCCTAACTCTCATGTCACCCCCTTGCTCTCTTAGCGCCCACAAGGGCAGCTGCAGCCAACCAGCCTCCTCGATATTCCCAAGAACATGACAGTAGGGGCTTGTCTGCTTTCTTCACTGCTGGTTCTCTGGAGCTCAGCACAGAGCATGGCACATAGCAGGGGCCAACTGTGATTTTGTGAATGAAATAATGTTACTTTCCCAAATTTACTAGGTTTTCATAAACAGCTCTCAAATTGTTTTTTTTTTTTTACCCACAGAACATTTTGAAAACAGCTAGTGAAGCAGTGTTAAGTGTTGTTAATGGGAGAACACAAGCTGCTCTGGATCGGGGTAACCGTGCCCACAGGTATGTCAATAAACTATGCCTGAGACCCTGCTGTTTTGGACATGCACGTGGGCTTATAAAGATGCCTGCCCAGGCCAGGGTGAGTTAGAAAGTGCACCTCTGGGGTGCACGAGATTGAAAAGAACGTGCAGAATAGTTAACCGTGATGGAAAAATGAATGGTATTTTGAAGCTAGTTGATAGAATTAGATCAGGCAGTGTGACCACCTTAACCCAGAATGTTGGGAGCCATACAAGATGGTGCCATGTAAGATTTTGTCACCTCATGGTTGCGAAATCTGGGGACATAGTGAGCCTTACCAGGGTACAAGTACTATATACTATAATAATTGGTTATTTCATGGTGGAAAACACGTAGACTTTAAAACAGTAGCAGTAGATGGACCTTGAGGATGCGATGCTCAGTGGAATAAGCCAGTCACAAAAAGACAAATACTGTGTGATCCCACTCACATGAGGCACCTAGAGTAGTCAAGTTCCTAGGGACAGAAAGTAGAAAGGTGGGTGTCAGGCTGGGGATGGTTATGAGGAGTTGGTGTTTAATGGGGACAGAGGTTCAGATTTGCAAGAGGAAAAAGTCCTGGAGATGTTTCACAACAATGAATGCACTTAACACTACTGAACTATACACTTAGAAATGATTGAGATGGTAGATTTTATGTTATGTGTTTTTACCTTAATAAAAAAATGGCACTAGGCAATCAAAAATTTAAAGTAAGCCTAATTCGAGAAATACTTGACTGCCTTTGGGTTCTACAATATCACGCTATGCCTGAAATCTGTGGTTTTATACATCCTAATGAAAGTTAAACATGTAAACTGACAAAAAGCAAATGTAGTCTTTCCTTCTGAAGGGACAAAGGTTGCCCACTGCAGGCACTTCTTGGTTCTTCCTCGTTGTCACTGCTCCGCTGTTCTCAGTGACGCAGGCTCGCCCGCATTCACAGGGCAGTGGTGGTGAAGGCCCGTCAGTGTCGCCAGGAAAAGCTGAGTTAGCCACAGCCTCTCTGGTCTCCTCAGTGCTCCTGGCCTTGACTCTTGCTCTGCTATTTGTCTGTGATATCCCTCCTTTTTCCCTCTCCCCCACTATTTGTTGAAGCCCACTATACAAGGCGGCATTTGGGGTTACTGAGACTAATGAGATCCAGTCCCCTCCCAGGGACCCCAAATCCAGGGCAGGAGACAACCGTCATCCACACGGTGAATGAGGCCATGCCGGGACTTCCAAACCACATGGGATCCGTAAAGGAGCATCCAGCTGTCCCAGAGGCAGGGAAGGCTTGGGCTTGGCCTCTAGAGGTAGGTGGAGGTCAGTTAGGTGGAGCAAGGGATCGAGTCATGCCAGCCAGCGGGAGAACAGCAGGCCTGAGGAAGAAAGTGGCCCTGTGGGGGAAAAAAGCTAAATCGCTATGTGTGTGTCAGCCGCCTCTGCTGGGCTGCGCTGCGGGGACAAAGTGGTTTATAACACCAGATAACAGAGGCTTAGAACAACATAAACAGAGGCTTATTTCCATGTCTGCTGGGCCCAGACACAGCTCTGCACCATGAACTCTTCCTTCTGGGATCCAGCTGAAGGACAGCCTGGCATGCAGACCAGCCCTGCTATTCTTGGGCAGAGAAAAAGCAAAGGCAGCCCCTCTTGATGGCCCTTGAATCAGCCTCTCCTAGGAGTGGCACGTGTCACCTCCACCACACTGCCAGGCTGGTGTCCTTGGGGGGAGTATAATCCCCTCACAGGGAGGGGCTGTGGAGGTACGGACCCATGACTCAGTCTACTATGTCAGATGAGAGAGACAGGTGGGCAGCAAGGATGGGGCTGGCATATTATCTGTAGCTAGGAGCCACGGTGTGGTTTCTGCTCTGCAGTTGTGGGCACAGAGGCTTCAGCAGGGAGGTGACAGGGTCAGGTTTATGGTTTTTTCTTGCACAGCAACCACAGAGGAGGGAAGAAAGTACGGAGCAGAGGCACATGCCCTTCCATGCTCCCCTAACATTGCAGAGGGCAGATTGGGATACAGGGGATGGAGGTGGGGAGCAAACCTAGCAGAACACGAACACAGCAGCACATGCACTCAGAGACCAAGGCCCAGTCTACCCTGTGACCGTGGGAACACACCCACTCAGCCACTGCGGGGAAATTCAGGAAAAGAGAAATCAGTGAGGGCCACCCACTCGGCATACTGACTGTCCCCTGCTCTCCCAGCCTCCTTGTCTTTGCTGGCAGCAATGTTGGGGAGAATGGGACCCCACCAGGTGGTCTGTGAGCCAGTGCCCTGGATGTGTGGGCCTGGCACTGTTGTCTCTGGAGTCCACGTGCTAACGATAGCCTTCCTTTCATGCCTCGGAGGTTTAGTAGCTCAGGCCTGTGTCCTTCCCTCTTGCCCCATGACCACAGCCCGAAGGCCGAGCGAGCCTGCTCAGGTTTAGGACAGCCTGGGCTGAGATGCTCAGTTTCACCTGCCTGAGTGAGGGGTGGGGAGCGAAGCTGGTCTTGCCTGAGGCGGGGCCCCGAGGACAAGGTGTCTAGAGTTGCTGCCAGGGAAGGGGGTGGTGTCTGAGTGTTCTGGGCCTGATGGGCCTTGGCGCATCCCTCCTGTAGGGCCCATCATGGCTCCTCGGCCAGTTGAGGTGTCAATGGACAGCTATAAACAGGGTCCTATGACAATGGAACACGAAGGGGACCCTCTAAGTGGTCCTCATTCTGCAGGCCGTGGTCATGCGCATTGCATCCCATTCCCAGCCAGACTTTGAATCTTTGAATGCACCAGACTGGCAAGCAGTTTTGATGGCCTGGGAGCAGCTGCTAGGCCTCCCTCTGCGGCCCTAGTCACAGGTGGATTCCGTGAAGGCCTGGCTCTGCTGCAGGGAGCACGCACAGCTCGGTGTGGCCTGAGCCCAGCGACCTGCCCTTTGGGTGAACTCTCTGAAGCAGGGTCCGAGTTGGGCACAGATTTTAGTAAATGGCTTTAAAAATGCTCCACTCCTCAGTGAAATTTCTCACCAGAACACTTGGGCAGCCCTTGCTGGTTCAGTTTCTACCTGCATCGTAGCCCTGGGCCTCACCCGGACCGCCCATGGACAGGCTCCTGGCACAGTGAGAGCCTTTCCAGGAAAGCCGGGGTGGATCACATCTGATCAGTCATCAGATGTGCTGAGTGAGTGAGTGAGGCACTGCCAGGTTTCCTGCTCTTTTTGCCTTTTCCCTTCATATTCAGAAGCTCCCAGGAACCTTCTGTTAGAATTGTGAGCTTCCGGAGCAGCAGTGGCCCCAGCCCCCATTGCCAATGGATGTGTGCAGTTGGGAAAGCAAACGGTGCATTCTGCGATCTGCTCCAGGTTGGTGTCTGACCTGCACGGTTCAGTTTCATCAGAGAGCTGCTGGCAGGTGCAGGCGGCCTGCGGGGTTTGTTGGTAACCGTATTTTGAATTTCTAGTCCTTTGGACACTGCTTGGGCAGTTTGAAAGCATAACTAAAATTTGTCTCCACAATAAGGGAAAATATATGTCACATTTTTGATGTCTGAAAGAGTATCATCTCTCTGCTGTCCACTTCAATTTATAGCTGACCCTATAAAACAGCTCATTTTCTATTAGCTTAGCTGGGGGAGCAGCATGAACTTTTGATAATACTCTTTCCCAAATTCCTGATAAAACATGCCTTGTAGTTCCAGCTGGCACGAGCTGGGCACTCTTGGGTGGTATGCTGGAAAGTATGAATTATCTCCTCCTCAACGTCTCACCAACGCATGGGGCCAGTTTGTAATAACCCACCCAAATAAGGGAGCTCTCAGCTGCGCTGAGGCTCTTTGTTAGGAGGCTTTCTGACCGTGGAGAAACACCAGTGCTGATAGCAAACTAGGCCATGTCCTAACCCCTACTGTTAAATTTTTAAATTCCAGTGCACCTGTCCTGTGGCGGGCCTCTGTAACTTGAAAGTAGAAATTCCCTCCTGTGCCATGGGACTGCTGCACTCTGCAGAGGATGTGGCCGCAGAGCTGCTTCCTGGGACTGCCATCACATCGACCACTGTCATGATGGGGCCCCCCAGCAGGGTGGCTGCATCTGCTCAGACCAGCACCTGGATTTCACATTCTCTCACCTTGCCCAGCAGGTAGGGTAAGCGTGGTGTGGAGGCCAGTGTCCCCTGCAGACCCTGATCCAGGAGCCGTGCTCAATGAGCTGGTGAAGGTAGTAATATCTTCCTTGTTCACTTCAGCGGCATTTGCCACTGTGGCCAGTGACCACACCGTGGACCACGCAGTTGGCCAGTCTTTCCCATTGGAGCCCATGTTACTTGGTTTCCTTCATTTTTCGAATCAGTCATATATCCAGACTGAAGCTTTGTGTGTATTTTTTTATTGAGATATAGTTGACATATAACATTGTATTGGTTTTAGATGCACAACATGATTTGATAAGTCTAGTTAACATCTGTCACCACATATAGTTATAAATCTTTTCTCTTGTGATGAGAACTTTTAAGATCTACTCTCTTAGCCACTTTCACATATGCAATACAGCATTATTAACTATAGTCACCATGCTGTACATTACATCCCAGGACTTATGTATATTATAACTGGAAGTTTGTACCTTTTGACCCCCTTCACCCATTTCACCCCTCCTCACCCCTCACCTCTGGCAACTACCAAACTGTTCTGTATCTATGAGCTTGATATTTTTTAGATTCCACCTCTAAGTGAGATCATACAGTGTATGTGTGTATTTCTAATGGGACGTGGACAGCACGTGGGGAGGAGGGACATCCCAGGGAGCGTGGAGATTGGTCATTAAGATACTTAAACCATTTCCACATCCATGAAAGTTTTCTCTCTACTTTGAGGTTTTTCTATCCTCTAGTTTATGCTGTTGGCTACCTAACTGTGCCAACACCCCAGGCATCATCCTGAACAGTGTTTAGCAAATAAATGGTGATCACAGAAGTCCTATATTATTGGAAGCTGAAGGTGGAGTCATCTAGACTATTCTCGACTCCCCAACTTATTCACAGCACAAAGAGCTGCACGTTGAAGTGATGGCACCCACCCCACATAGAGCATTTTCACAAAAACATCAAAGGTAGTGACTTTTGGGGGACACACCTTTCGTGTCCATTACTTCAGTGATGAGGGGGAATACATACATTATTGCTGTGATGAATGCCGCTAGAGCAGTGGTTCTCAGATGTTAGTCTCCTGGGGGCTTGCTGGTCCACCCCAGGGCTTCTGACTTTGGGCTGGGGTGACTCAGTGGGCTGGGGTGAAGCACGAGAACTTGCATCTCTCACAAGTGCCAGGTGAGGCTGGTGCTGCTGGCCCTGGGACCCCACTTTGAGCACCAGCACAAGTAAGCCTGTCATCAGGTTCCACAAACCTTACTTTCAGCTGAATAGCGTCCGGAGTGGGCTGCTCCCCCCTGCCTCCTGTCCCTCCTGGTGACATGTTCTGGGGATTTGTCAGACTTGTGATGTCTGAAGCACTCCTGCCTCTCTCCCCACAGCTCCGACGGCCTTCCTCCTGGAGCTCACTGCACCCACAGCCTCTCAGCGTCCCAACCTGGTCCCAGGCAGCCCTGTCCCCTCACTCAGTGTCATCCTGGAGCCATCCCAGTGCAAGGTCCTGCTGACCAAGTGGATCCTGTCACCCATCGCTTACCAGAAACTGACACTCAGTCACCTCAGAGTCTGGGGTTCCAGATTCAAATGGCTTCTGAAGCAGCTCTGTGTCTGGTGATGGATTTCGGAGACAGGTCTGGAGTTCGGATGAGGATCCGCAACGTGTCTGAGGAAATGGCAGTTACCGCCTACCATAAGTATGGGAAAGGTAGGGTCCGTGATTTCAGTATCAGGAACATGGGAAGGAAATGCTGAAGACACTGAGACCTCAGAAGCAGTGCTGGGAACCTTCTGTTCCTCTAGACCCATCTGCGCCTTCTTTGTTCTGAAAATGAAGGCTCAGGAACTTGCACTGTGCCTGTTCTTCATGTACTTTCATTTAATCCTGCCATAAACCCTGGGGGTAGATAATGATCTCCATTTAGAGGAGCAAACGAAGGCTAGAAGGAGCGAGGAGTTTGTCCTGAGGTCACACAGCTAATGCAATGGAGTTACTTCCTCCACAGAGGGAAACTTCTAAGCTACTGTTGAATCACTTATATTTGTCCTTCAAGTGCAATACAAACACACACACAACATTGCACACTGAATCTTTTGCGCTAAAATTTTGAACACTTTGCATTTAGACCACAGTGAGGGAAAAAAAACCTTTATACGGACATTTCAGCATTGGAACCATTCTGCTCAGACAACTACTAAGTCTGTAGAGCTGATGGGGTGGAGCACGTGGAGAATTCTGATGCTTTCCTGCTTACCAGCAGGATTTAACTCTTTTCTTTCTTTTTATTTTTTTAAATTATTTTTTGGGTGCAGTACATTCTCAAGGTTCAAATCCCCATGTTATAGAAGGGTGTACGGTAAAAGGTCCTCTTCTCGCTATCCGTCCGGGTCTCTCCCCACAGACAACACTGCTTCTATTTCTTATGGCTCGTATATATTTATAGGCAAGTGTAAATACGATCTTTTCCTCTTGTACAGAGATGGACCTGTACTGCATGCAGAGTCTTGCTCCCTGCTCGCTTAGATGCACTTCCACATCCTAGAGATAATTCTACATCTGCACAGAAAGGGCTTCCCTGTTCTTTTGTGTAGTTGCAGAATATTCCATTAATTTAATGGGCCAAATCTACTTAACCTTTTTTTTTTTTTATTGGCAGACATTGAGATTGTTTCTAATCTTTCATTATTACAAACAACGTTGCGGCGAATAATCGCATGTATGTGCCATTTCATAGAAAAGAGGAATTATTGCCTCAAATGCTGTGTACATTTGTAATTTGATAGTCCTTGCTAAACTGCTCTCCATGAGGGTTGTCTGGTTTACACTCCCATGGGCAGTGCAAACGTCAAAGTGAAAGGTGAAAACGTAACTTTCTACAGTTTTAGTTTGCATCTTATTAGGTTCACCTAAGTGAAATTGCCAACATTTGACCATATTTTACCAAGAAAAAGAGCACTTTCACAGTTCAACCTGATATGGTGTTTGTATGAGCTCTTTTAGTAATTAGGAAAATTAGTCCTCTTAGTATGATATAGTTGCAAGCACTATTTTCTTTTCTCATTTTGTCGTTTGCCTTTTGGCCTTATAGTTTTTTCCTTTTCATGTGGAAATTTTAATTTTTATTAAGTATACTTTATCAATCCTTTCTTTTATGGTTTTTGAGTTTTATGTCATAGATAGAAATGCTTTTTTAAATCCAAGTTTATAAAATAATTCTCTCCTCTTTTCTTCTAGTACTTTTATAATTCCATTTTGCACATTTAAATATTTAATACATTTGAATGTAAATTCTGGCAGAGAATGTGAGGTGTAGATTCTATTTATTTTCCTCTGAATGTCCACCCGTTGCCCCCTACCCCCTCATTGCTTTGGAGGGTGCTCTGGTCATCGTCTAGTTTCCTCGAGCTCTCGGGCAATTTGCATTTAGGGTTCTGTTCTCCTCCATCTCGGGTTCACTCCCCTTTGTTACTCATCTGTTCTAGAATTATCTTGGTTATTTTCAGTTGTTCATTTTTCCATGTGGACTTTAGACTCACACTGACTAGTATAAAAATATCGTATTGGCATTTTAATTTGAATAATGTTAAATTTATAAATTAATTTATATGGAATAATTATGCTCAAGCATCTCTGCCTTCATGAAAATGCTCTTCTCTTTTCATTTCTTCCATGTGTCTTTAGAAGTATTTAAAGATTTCATGTGGAATTTACATATGTCCTGTAAGATATTTTATGTTTGTGATGTTGTAAATGAGATCTTTTGTTTCATCTTCAAATTGGTTGTCGTTGGGATACAGAAAAATTGCTGATATTTTCTGTTAATTTTGTCCCCTCCAGTCTTACTGAATTCCTGTATTGTTTTAGTCATCGTTAAGTTTATTCTTTAGTGTTTCAGTTGTGTGAACGTATTATTTACAAATAGTGATTTGTGACCCTCACACTGCCAACTTTGCAGCTTTAGTTTCTTTCTCTTATTTAATTGCATTGGCTGGTACTTCTAGAACAAGGTTAAATAAGAGAGATGATGGTGGGCATCTTTGGCTTCAGAGGCTTCTAGTGTTTTCTCATTAAACTTGATACTGGAGTTTGGGCGGGTATAATTTATCGGGTTAAGGAAGTTTTCATCTGTCCTCTTTTATTGAAGACTTTTTAAAAAATCTAGAGTTGTTGAATTTGCTAAATTCTTTTCAACATCTGTGGAGCTGATCTCATGATATTTTTTTCCTCTTTAGAGCTATAAATATTAACTAATATCTTAATATTGAATCATCCTTGAATTCCTAGGAGGGAAATACCCACTTGATTTTGGTGTATTATTCTATGAATGTGCTGCTGAATTCAGTTTTCTAACATTTTATTATGATTCTTCCACTGGTAATTGTAAATGGGACTGGTCTCAATCTTGTGTGGAGATTTTCTTTATTTTTTGTTTGTCCTGAAATAGTTTAAATAGCACTGGAAATAGTTATTCTATTTCAGAAAATTTGCTTATGACCCTCTGAGACTAGTATATTTTTTCTTATTACCTCTATTTCTTCTATAGAAATTCATCTGTTGAGATTTTCTATTTCTCTTGTAGTTAGTTATTTTAAGTTATATTTTTCTTAGAAAAGTATCCATTTAGTCCAGGTTTTCAAATTTATTTGCGTGGAAGTGAACAAAGTAGGCTCCTATAGTTCTTTAAATTTCATCAGTCTCTATGTTATTTCTTTTTGTCATTTCTTATTTTCCCTTTTATGCTTTCTCCTCTCCTTTTTTCCTTGATTAGGTTGGATAAATTGTCATTAGTTTATTTAAAGAACCAGCTTTTGAATTTCATTAATTACATTTTTCCCTAAGTTTATTAATTTCTTCTTTTATCTTTACGTTCTTCTTCCTGCTTTTATAGAGTATTTTTGTTCTTGTTTTCCATTTTGAGTTAGATGCTTAAATTATTTACTATTATTTAAGTTTTAAAATTTCCACATGTCATATGGCCTTTTTTGTGTTCTGGTTTCATTATTTATAGTCCTATTCTATCATGATAAGCAAATATTTTCTCCACTCTTGTGACTCCTTTAATTTTTTAAGTTCTGAGGTTGTCTTTGTGGCTTAAAATATGGTCAGTATTAGAAATGAAAGTCCATGACTACCAGCAGGTTATAGGAGAGTCCCAACCCTGTGTCCCTCGACAGCAAGGGTGTTGGCTCCAGGTACCTTCCATCTGCTGAGCCCCATGCTCACCCTCAGCTCCGGTCCAGGAAGGCGTGTGTAAGTGTATGTGTGAGTGAGTGTGTGTGTGTGTGTGTGTGAGAGAGAGAGAGAGGGGCAGAGGCAGAGGCAGAGGGGAGGACCTTGCCTAAGGCAGGATTTGGGGTGATCCTCCCAGGAGGCAGAACCTTGTCTTAAGTAGATAACCCAGCCCTCCTTGCCCTTCCTTTGACTGTGCCCTAGTTCCTTTAGTAACCGTGTGGTGGAAGTACCATCTGTTCTGTTCTCACTTGAGGCTCCCTCAGCCTCGGGGTTGTCCCCACTCTTCACAGCAGCCTGTTACAGTTTGGGTCATTCTTTCATTTCTCACCTTTTGGAATCACTACGTTCTAAGTGTTTCTCTTGTCTACGATGGAGTTGGCTTTGCTGTGTGACCCATTCTGATATACTTGTTTTAATAGATGAGTTTAGTGAATTTGTGTTTACTGAAATGACAAATATCTGGTTTTAGATCTGTTAAATTTTACATTCTGGGCTCTGCATAAATTTTAAGATATATTTCATTAAATGTCTGTCTGAGTTAGTCTCTGACATTTGGGAGGCTAGCAGCCTTGCTTTAGTTGATCCTTGTATTTATAACTCCATCAGGGTCCTCATTCCTCTGTTTCTTTCACAGTATCCATTTTCTACCTACTCCAAGCAATGATGAAATTACTGTTCTCTCTTTCTTCCCCTCTTCCTCCCTCTTCTTCATCAACCGATTTTAATCATTTAAATCATCTTTATTAGTATTTTCCTTTGTACTCTTAAATATGCTTATACCTTTGTTAGTTGTTCAGTTAAGTGTGGGGGCAATACCTTTTGATTTCCAGCAATTACATATGAGGCAGTCTGCGTTAGCCACAACCGCCTACCTCTTTCTTGCTTTCTCTCCCAATTTGGGTTTCTTGTACAATTTCTACATTGTCAGGACACATGATACGTACATTCTTTGTCACCTGCTTTCCCACATTTGTTTTAGTTCTATTTCCAAAGTTAAATCGATTCAACTCTCACCCTTAGTCCTCTTGCCGTACTTTTCCCATTTGAAGTTTGTCCTCTAGTAGATTTTTTTTTATATAAAGCCTTTCTTTTTTAGAGCAGTTTTAGGTTCACAGCAAAATTGAGAGGAAGGTGCAGAGATTTTCTGCATACCCCTGCCCCCACACGTGTACAGCCTCCCCCATTATCAACATCCCCCCCAGGAGAGGTGTGTCTGTTACAACTGATGAACCTGCCTTGGCACATCATTATCACCCACAGTCTGTAGTTTACATTAGGGTCCACGCTTGGTGTTGTACATTCTGTGGGTTTGGACAAATATTTAATGACATATATCCATCATTATGGTATCTTACAGAGTGTTTTCACTGTCCTAAAAATGCTCTTTTCTCTGCCTATTCATCCCTTCCCTCTCCACACAACTCCTGGCAACCACTGATCTTTTTACTATCTTTATAGTTTTGCCTTTTCCAAAATGTTGTACAGTTGGAATCACGCAGTATGTAGCCTTTTCAGATTGGCTTCTTTCACTTAGTAGTATGCATTTAAGGTTCCTCCATGTCCTTTCATGGCTTGATAGCTCATTTCTTCTTAGCATTCAGTAGTGTTGCATTGTCTGGATATACAACAGCTTCTTTATCCATTCACCTGCTGAAGGACATCACAGTTGCTTCCAAGTTTTGGCAATTATGAATAAAGCTGCTATAAATATCCATGTACAGATTTATGTATGAACATAAATTTTAAGCTCATTTGGGTAAATACTGTGGACAGTAATTGCTGGATCATAGAGTATGTTTATAGTTGTGTACAAAAGTGTCAAACTGTCTTCCAAGGTGGCTGTACCCTTTTGCATCCCCACCAGCAATGAATGAGAGTTCCTGTTGCTCCACACCCTCATAGCATTTGGTGTTGTCAGTGTTCAAATTTTGGTCATTCTAATGGGTATGTAGTGGACTCTCATAGTTGTTTTAATTTGCATTTCCCTGATGACGTATAATGTGGAGCATCTTTCCATATGCTTATTTGACATCCGTATATCTCCCTTACTGAGGTGTCTGTTAAGGTCTTTGGTCCAGTTTTTAATTGGGTTGTATGTTTTCCTGTTGTTGAGTTTTAAGAGTTCTTTGTATATTTTGGATAACAGTCCTTTATCAGTATCAAAATTTTATTTGAATGACAATTTGATGGCTTTTAAATCCTTGGTCTTATGTTCTTTTCTTGAGGAAGTTAGTTGTTTCTTTGCTCTATTCTGGCATATAACAGTGGTTTTCCAGGTGTGGTCCTTGGACCAGCATCATCAGTATCACCTGAGACTTGTTTGAAATACAGATTCTCGGGCTCCACCCTACAGGTACTGAATCAGAAACCCAGAGGGTAGATCCTAGTAATCCATGCTTTCAGAAGCCCTCCGTGTAGCTCTCCATGCATTCCCACTCTGTGATGATTCTAAGGTCAGCTTCTTTTCCCCTCTGGTAGATGACTTGATGTTTTTGTCTGGCTGAAAATAATTATTCATTTATATTTGAAGTCCTGTACCTTTACCAGAACATGGTTCAGTGTTGACCATTCTTGGTCAGCTTTCTCTGGCACACAGTGTGCCTTTTTAATATGTAGATATGTAATGTTTTCCTTTGTTTTACAGAAGATTTCTTTAGTTATATTTTTAAATATTTTTCTGTTCCAATATTTCAGCTTTCTTTTTGGGAGATTCTGGTCATGCATGTGTTAGATCTTCTTTGTCTTTTGTAATCCTTTTTGTTCTTTATTTTTATTTCATCTTGCTTGCACTTCTCATTTTTTCCTCTATATCTCTTCTTTTGTGTTCTCTAGTTTCTATTTTCCATTATTCTCTTTGGAATGTTGCCTTCATTTCTTACATTTCTGCTCTATGGTCTTGTATCACAGAAGCTACTGATTCCTTAAGTTGTTAAATCCTTTTATCCTCCCATGGACAATGTTTTTGGGATAAATGATCTTAATCTATTATGAATATCTGCTGAATTTCCCATATTAACTCTTATAGTGTCTTGTGTATCCTAAACGGTCTCCCTCCCTTGCTCTCTCACTCTCTCTTTCTTTTTTCCTTCCCTCCTTCCTTCCTCCCTTCTTTCTTTCCTTTCTTCCTTCCTTCATTCCTTCGTTCTTTCCTCTTTTCTTTTTTCCTTTCTCCCTCCCTCTTTCTCTTCCTTCCTTCATAGTATTATTCATAATTAAAAGAGTTGGTTTTCTCTTGAACTAGCTGTTTGCAGGTGGCGTGTGTGTGTGTGCGGGCACACGTGCGGGTGTCTTCAAGGCTGTATTACAGACTAATTGAGACTTTTATGAAACAGGGATTTGTGTGTGAATTTACAGAACTTCCTCTAGCTAATGGGGTTAGGCAGTTAGTGGTGTTTCTGCCATGCAGACTCTCGTCTCCTCTACTGCCACAGAAGCAGAGCACTTCTCACAAATCTGGTTTCTCTGTTCAATTCTGCACTCCCTCCTTCCCCTCCTCTCAGAACCAGACCAAGTCCAGAGAGACTCTTCATCTCAGCCAGTTCAGCTCCACCCACACTGTGCCCCAAATGCTGTGCGCTCACTTTACAGAAGGGCAGTGTGAGTGGGTACGTGTGTGCGCATGTGCATGTATGTGTTCATGACATTTACAGCCAGAGTCCTCTTGCTACTGAGCTCTCACTCCAGGGCATCTTCTCTACTCTCCCTCCAACAGGGTTCCTGTTATCATGCTTGATTTGTGCTGCTTTTAGCAGCTCTTACATCTATTTTGGGTTCTGAACATGCTAGTTACCTCCTAGTTTCACCAAAAAAAAAATTGTATTTTTGTTTGCTGTTTTCCTTTTTGCTTTAGGATTAACTCCCAGAAGATGCAGTGGAATGCTGACTATATTTCCATATTCATATCAAAATGTTCGGTTAATTTTAAGCATCTACAACTTTAACGCATGTTAATTATTTTCTTTGTTGCTTTAAAATAAGGAATTAGTGTCACATCTCCCAATAGGGGTTAAGTCTAAAGTCAACTTATAAGTTAAGTATGCCCAAGATTTGGTTGCACTGTAGAGACAGACTTCCAATGCTAAATTCATCTGAGTCCACAGAGTTCTCTCAACTATTCCTAACTCGTAGTCATGAATTCTGCCTTTTATGAACCATGAGGAATTTATTGATTTACACAGAGCACTGTGATTAAGTCTTTAATTAAGTCCTGATCTCTGTGATTATGGTGAGCTGCATGGTGGTGTCCATTTCGCTTTCTCCTTATCAAAATCCATGTGCAGAATTTGTTTGGACACAACTGTGAGAAGCAGTGTTACAAGAAAGCTGGAATAACTCTATAAATGATGTCTCAGCATTTAAGATGTCACTTCCAAGTGAGATTACATTTTGGGAGAGTGTACCCGTTTCTTGTATATGTTATTTTGATCCATGCTTGTATGGGATGCTCTTCTGTCTGGCCTTGGCTCATCACAGTATGTATTCCCAAATCCTCCACGTCTCGTCACATTCATTGCTCTTCCTCACAGGTATGCTTTGCTCTTTAAAGTCGTTCCCTCTTTTCTGCTTCTTATTACACTAGTACTTGCAGCTTTTCCTAGATCCATATATTAATTCCATATAATTTAGATGCACAAAATGAAGAGAGGAAAGACTGTCTTAATTCCTAAGAAATAATTGCATACTCTATGCCTTGGACAAATTATTTAACCTCTTTGAACTTCAGTTTTCCATTCTGCAAAAATAGATTGGTCATTTGGTAAACATTCGTTGTATGTCTACTAAGTGCTTTGTGCTGAGGTTGTGGGATGGAAGACAGACAGTGTGGTGAGTCCTGAGAGGGAAGCACAACCCAAGTTCCATGGCCAAATGGCAGGTGGAGCTGCTCCTTCTGCCTGGGTCATCAAGCGAGGCTTGAGGTAGGTGCCAGTTGGCCAGATAGAGGCATGAGGAGGGACACTGTAAGCAGAGAGAAAGGTTGTGTACGGTGCAGATGAGTGGTGGAGAATGGGGCCCAGCTGTGCAGGGGTGGTGAGTCAGGGTGCATGAGGGAGCCAGGGTGGGCAAGTGGGACCAGCTCAGCTAAGGGTGAAAGGCCCAGCTGAGGATTTTATCCTGGGATTCATCAGGAATCACCTAACATTTTAATGCTGGGGAATCAAATGAACAATGGAAAAATACTGTGTGGGGGATTGGGATTACAGAATTGCTAAAGACCTTTTCAGTCCAGTGGAGTTGTGTCAGTAATCTATTGCTATGTAACAAACCACCCCAAACTTAGTGCCTTAGAGCACAACTGTGAGTTTAACCCATAGTTCTGCTGGGCGTCCTTTGAGCCTGGGCTGGTCTCAGATGAGTGTATTCATGGATCTGCAGCCAGCTGCCAGTCAGCTAGGTAGCTCGATGGTGGTGACTCCTGGGTCTCTCATCACTCAGCAGGCTCACCAGCCTTCTTCACACAGAGCAATAACAGGAGTCTCGAGACAAGCAAGCGAGAGCAAATGCGCGAGCACTTTTCAAATCCATTGGCCACAAGACTAGCGCCAATTCTAGGGGTGGAGAAATAGGCTCCACCACTTGATGGGAGGAGCTTGCAAAGTCACATAGTAGTTGTATTACAGGGGTGTGAAAACAGGGTGAGCATTTGGGGCCATTTCTGTAATCTGCCATAATACTTCTTTGGTGTATTTCCATTTGACTATTTAAGTATTTTTTTGTTTAGCTGTGGGATGAGCAATATCTATTTTTATTCTTGTGAATATTTTCTGTTGCTCAGGTTTGCCTGCATAATTCTCAGGGCCCAATGCAAAATGAAAATGCAGCACATTTTGTTAAAAAAAATTCTTAAGAATTTCAAGACAGCAGAGCATTACACCACACGCTGAGCCCTGTTGAGTGTGGGGCCCTGTGCGACTGCAGGGGTCTCATGCCCATGAAATGGCCATGCTGCTACAAGAGAGAAGAAAAGTCACCTTTGCCCTGTTAGTTCCCATTTTAGTCACCCATCATCTCTATTCTACAAATGTTAAATGTTGTGCATGCTTTTAACAGTTGATCAAACGGCCATTCTTTCTTCCTTTTCCAGAAGGAGTCTATGTGCTCAGGGCAGTTATTTACAATGAGTTTTATGGAACCGAAGTGGAGCTTGGGCCTTATTATGTGGAAATTGGCCACGAGGCCGTGTCCGTGTTCATGAATTCCAGCAGTGTCCACGAGGATGAACTTCTGGTCTTTGCCGGCTCCCACAGGGATCAGAAAAGTAAGACCTACATCAGAGTCTGAGCCCCCAGACCTCAGCTCTGGCTGAGGCATGACTCTGTGCTGGAGCTACACGGTTCAGACACAACGTTCACCACTTACTCTTCCCTCATTCAGAAAATATTTATGCACAAATCTGTGCTCTGAGGGGACGTGAAGTCATATAAGTCCTGGTCTTGAGGAATTTATAATCTAGTAAAGGCGTTAAGATATGCATATGAAAAATATAAGCTAAAACTTAAAAATGCCTTAAGAAGGACATAGCCAAGGGCTGGGAGGTTTCAGGGAAGGGAGTTGTGTATAACTGGGGGGATAAGGAATATCTCAGGTAGGAGTTGGCATCCACGATGAGCCTTGAACGAGCCGTGAAGAAATGGGTGTTGGAGAGCATTTTGGGCCAACAGCGTGGCAATAAGCCAAAGCACAGAGATGAGACACAGTGGGCGCTGGAGTTCACTGCACACTCGCAGGGTGCCAGGCGCTCTGCCATTTCTTCACTCGCATCACCTCACTGTATCCTCATGGCTACCTGTGAGGTGGGCTCCCCTTCATCTCAGTTTTATAGAGGAGGAACCCAAAGCTCAGAGGCCAGTGCAGTGGGAATGGAGGATTGCATCCAAATATCAGTAATATGTGGAAGGAAGTGTCCCACCATGTTTAACAGGGCGAGTGTGGGCGCCAATCGAAGATAATCCGAGCATTCAGCCTAAGTGGATGGAATATGGGTTACATTTCCCAGAAAAAGGAAAAGGGAGAAGCCAGTAGGGGACATGTCCCAATGAACTCATTCTTAAGAAAGTCTTTTTAACTCGTTCCATACACTGACAGTATGTTTTCCGTACAGTTAGCCTCGTGAGAAACTCTGTCCAAGAAATTACAGAACACATATGGGAGGGTTTTGGTCATTTGTACTGACTGGTCTTGTCTAAACTTTACTAAATAAATAAGCAGCCTATCTAATGCCAGTGGGAGAGTGCGATCCTGACAAGCCCTCCATCGGTTCCGTGCCAGGAGCGAGGATTGGAAGTTCTGGCACAGATTGATAACCGGGTAATCTGGTGCTCTCCTCGCACTGCTTACTACTAGACTGTGCTCAGAATTAAGTTTCAGGCATTGTTAATGAGTTGATGTGGCTCTTATTAATGGGATATTTGTTTTTCAGAAATTGTAATGCACTGATAAAGAACAAAATATCCATTCTACTTTATCACTGTTATAAATGAGCGTTTTCTCTTTATAAAGAGAAAAACTATACAGAGCAATAATAGTGTTTTTGAAAATACCCACCTCCTTTCTTAACATCCCTTTCTGATAAATGAGTTGTTCTAAATCTCCCTAGACATCACAGTCCTCTTCTAGAACCTGACAAGATGTTTGGTATCTGTCCTCCTAGTACATACATACATACTTACATACATACATACATACGTGTGTGTGTGTGTGTGTGTGTATACGCATATGTATGCAACATTTTGCATTCATTTCAGAGGGCTTAAAAGCCTGAGGCTTACCTGTGGACCCTGTTTAAGAACCACTGTGAAGTGAAAGACTGCTTAGTGTACACATTGGAGAAATACGTTAAAAACAAGGCCATCTAGAGAAGTAATTAACATATTTTTAAAAATTAATATAGTTATTACTATGTAGGGTATTCTAGGGAGAGATAGAGAAAACACTTAAAGAAAATTTTAATGAGAGAAATTTTGGGACAAAGTTCATGTTTCTCAGGTCTGTCTGATTCCAAAACACATGCTTTGAATTTTGAAATTTATTGGAATTCAAAGGGAGAAAGTAAAAGAAAATATTGACCATGTGTTGTGTGAGATGAGTGAATTAATTTTCAGACTGTTTTCCCCTTTCTTTCTTTCTCATTCCAGGCACTGTGGTTATGCATCGTTTTCCGTCCTTTTCCTCATATAATGTGTCCTTTACTTCTCAGACCCAAGTGGGTGACAGCCAGGCTTGGCCCAGCATCACTGTTTGGTATCAGATGCAATGTACGTTTTGATTCTAATTCTAGATTCAACACAACCTTCCTCACTCAGTCAGTGGAGATCCTAGAGGCTGCAGGCAGCGCCGGGTTCTGTGATTAGTGCTGCTGAGGCCCCCATTTGCCCTTGAGTGAGCTCTGTTCACCTGCAGTTCATTCTAGGACTTTTCTAGAAACCACAGACATTAAGCCTTCAATCTAGAGGGGTGAGAAGGTGGGTTATCATGCAGAATCATTTGCGGCTTCCTTGTACCACACCCTTTCCGGTAGAATCCCACAGGAATTGGCCATATCACTTTATGAGCTGTTACTTTGAGGGCCTTGCACTTGGGCCCAAATTGCCTACCAGGTTCCTCCTGCTACATCCCTGTGCTCAGTCCTGCATTCATATCTGCAGGCTCTTTTCCCATCAGTCACGGCCATGACTAAATGGGAAGGTGAGGATCTAATGTCTCTGGACGGATCCCAGCCCTTCCCTGCTGAAGCATCTGCACCTCCCTTTCCTTTGTCACAGCTGTCTCTGTCTACACAAACGGGACTGTGTTCAGCACAGACACCGACATCACTTTTGTAGCTGTTACCAAGGAAACAGCTCCCCTGGAGTTCGTGTGGTATTTTGGAGAAGATCCACCAGTGAGAACAACTTCCAGAAGCATTAAGAAGAGACTCGGCATCCCCCAGTGGTCTGTAAAAATGGTCGTCCCAATAGGTGGCTGCTTGTGATGCAGCCTTAACTTAGTCTGGAGACTGTGCTGCTACTAAAATAACTAAAATAATTTTAAGAGTGTGACATTCACACTCAGTGCTGCCAAGCACTTCTATGAATTGAACTCAAATGTAAATTTAAAAGAAGAGGGACTTCCTTCCTTTCAGTGTGAACTAGAAGGGAGGGGGTGGGGCTTTGAAATCAGACAATCCTAGGTTCAGATCCCATCTCCCCTGCCAGTGTGGCCTAAGCAGATTCCTCATCTAAGAAAAGGTAACAGTGTTACCCCACCACTCTGAAAGGTGAATTAAATAATGAGGAAGGAGAGGTCAAAAAGTGTCACTCCTCTTTCTCCCCAGTAAGGTGGAAATCATGGGGGCTGTGATAATTCCTACAAATTAAATGCCAACCCTTCAGCCTTTCTCTTGAAGTAATGTGGAGATTCTCTGTACCTCTGACCTTGTTCTTGTCTCACCATCTGTCTTTCCTGCCCTCTTGGCCCCACCCTACAGGTATCGTGTGTTGGTTACGGCTTCCAACGGGATCGGCAGTGTGGCGTCGGAGCCCCATCACATCAGGGTGCAGAGGAGAATCGTTGCCAATCGGCTCACATCCACCTCCTCGGCTCTGGTGAATGCCAGTGTGACCTTTGAGTGCAGAATCAACTTTGGCACCGATGTTGCTTACCTGTGGAACTTTGGGGATGGTGCTGTTGGCCTGGGGAACAGCTCTGCCACTCACGTCTACAGTAGGTAAGCCACCCAGGTGCAGGGGCAGGCTCACTGCAGATGGCGGCTGGAATTGGCTTTTCAAGGTGTCAGCCCTCCGGGTCTCCACAGTCAGCCTGCCTTTCAATCAGTGCAGTGGACAGATATTAAAGAGAGACAAATAAAACCTAGCTATTGCTCTCGAGGGGCTCACAGTCTAGGGGGAGACAAGAGGAGAATGGATACTTTCAGTACCCAGCTTGAGTGCTACAAAGGGGGCCCGAGGAGGTGTGGGGACAGCTCATTCTTTTGAAAACTGGAGAACCAGCTTGCGGTGGCGTTCGCATATGATCTGAACGTGAAATCTTGAGGAGGCGTTTGCCAGAGGGACAAGTGGGAGGCTGAGTGAAGGCCCGAGGGGTGGCCCGCAGGTGGCCTGGTCAGGACACGGAGAGGCGGGCAGTGCCAGCAGGGTGTCAGGTGGGATGAGGGGAAGTGGGCAGATCAAGATAGCGAGTCCTCAAGAAAGACTGTAAAGGGCCTCGCTTTCTTCCAGAAGAGCTTCGGCGATGTCCTGTGATTCTGTGCTTACTGGGCACCCACTGTTGACCTGGAACAGAGCATTATGGAAATCCAGGAATGAGCTATGCCTGCCTGTGTCTGAAATACACGGAGCATTTGCCGGGGGAGGTGGGCATGCCCTCAGGAAACCACAGGGCAGACTGCAGGATGGCCACATCTTGAGGTTAGGAGAGTGATGAAGTGCAGACCAACCAGGGCCACTTGTCCCCAGTCCAGCCTCCTGGCTGTTGCTCCCTGGTCAGGGGTCAGGATTATCTTGGACCTGGAGTGGGCGAAGCCTACCAGTGGGCGCCCATTGCCACAGCTGTGGAGACGTAAAGGTGGTGGAGCTGAACCTCAGGCTGGCATGGAGCCGTTTGCGCTGGTGTAGTGAAATCTTAAAGTGTGTAGAAGTATCCAGAAAACGAGGCTCGTGTGGGCTGGTGGCTTCAGGGGAAGATTGCAGACCTCCTTCAGTGCAGGGCTTCCAAGAGAACCCACCATGTGGCCTCTCCATGCTTTAGGGGACGCCTGAATGGCCCCATCACTAGCTTCAGATTTACAACTTCTCCACTGGACATAGATTTTCCCATAAGAAAGGAATTGAGCGATAGTGCCCAGGTAGGCTCAGGCGGGCACCTGGGGCCTGGGGGCCTGGGAATGTGCTCTGCAGCCCGGGGAGCCTTTTCTTGTCTATGGAAGTGGACATGGACTGCTCCGTGCCTCCACCATCCTCTCTAGAGTTTCCCAGGCTCTCCATCCACCTGGACCCTGAGAGGGATCTCACAGCCTTCACTCTGGTCAGTATGACCTGCCCTTCTTTCTGATGCTTCAGGATGGCAAGTAACACTCTGGTCCTTGTGTGCACTAATTGTGATTCTCTGATGGGGACTGTTCTGTTTCAGATTGAGATGTCTTGAATGGTGGTTCATCCTGCATCATTTGTAAAACCAGTGTGTATTTCTTTAGTAAAACATGACCTGCTGGTCAGGAACTGCCTGACACACCCCCTCCCCTGTCTTCCATCTCCCCACAGCCGGACCCTCCATGCCTCCTTGGGCTGGCCTCATCTCCAGGCTGTGGAGTCTATCCTGTGCCTCCTCGGTTTACAGGAAGACCAATCCTTGGGGCAGGGAACAGAACAGGAAGCTTATGCCCAGAGATCCCCAGTCACAGGTCTAGGGTGCGCATCATGCTGGGAACCCGAGAATCACCCTGTGGTGGACAGAGGGGCCAGGTCATGGCTGCAGGGAGAGTTCATGAGGGGAAGCAGCGTCTCCTCATGTGGATGATTGTTTCTCGTACAGCAGGTGGCATCAGTCTAGGAGTTGGGTGCCTGAGCTGCCCTGCACTAGGTGGGCAGCCAGTCTATTATATGGGACAACAAATGGCCTCTGTGGAAATTAACCTCATGACCCGAGTCTCCTCTATTCCCATTCATGGGCTATCTGACTATCAAATCCTATAATTACACACTTGTAGGACGGTTATGGAGAATGAAGGAAAGACTAACACATGGCAGAATCAATGTCTTCCTTTCTGTGCCTTGTCGGCCTTCCAGGGAAGGAGAGTTTACCGTGGAGGTCCTTGCCTTCAATAACGTCAGCTCTGCCTCCCTAAGAAAGCAACTTTTCATCGTGCGCCAGCCCTGCCAGCCGCCCCCGGTGAAGAACATGGGGCCCGGGAAGGTGCAGGTAGGGCTCATTTACCGGACTCGTTCCAGTGTTTTCTCCCAGTTGGCACCAGCATTAGGAAAAGTTAGGAAGGGCAGAGGTTTGGGGAGTGAAGCGCCGCTTTGTTGAGTTTATGCAGCTGCATTTGATACAAAGGAGCTCCTGTGAGGACTCCTGAGCAGTCCTGGAGCCGGAGAAAGCCCCACTCAGCCTCAGACTGGAGGGAAAAGCCTCCTTTCTGGCATTTGAATCGGTTCTTTATTTGCCTTTATTACTCTGGTGCTCAGCACAGCCCGCTTTGAGGAGCTTTTTTTAAATTGCTTGTGCAAAGAACTGTAGCATTTTCGGGAGAAAGCAGTATTTGAATATATGTGATATCAAAATCAAAAGAAATAATTATTTGTTTAGCACCTACTATGGGTTAGGAAAGATGGGATTGCTTTTTTATTTCTTTTATTCCTTTGAGGCCTATGATTTAGAGAAAATTTCCCTTTTCAGGGCAAAAGTGCTCAAATGACACATGGGAATTAAAATCTGTGACTTAGCTGCTTTGCCAGAATGCTTTCTGTGGCTTTCCAGCCCCAGAGGTCAGTTGCTGGACCCCTGTGAGTCTCAGGCCGGGGCACCTCCCCTCCCAGATCAGTAGCAAAGAACAAGTCCCCAGGACAAGATCCGGTGGTCCCTGGGAGCCCCACGTCCAGGGCCAGCCATCAGGCCAGCAGGCACCCGCGCTGTCAGGCAGTTCTGTGCACCAGGGCAGTGGGCTCTCTGGGGCAGGGATAGGGACAAAAGTCAAGGGTACCAGAGCTAACAGCGGAGATTGGGAGCAGCATGGACCCCGGGGAGAGGGATCTGGGCTTCAGTCCTGACTCTGCTCTTAGGTCAAGTCACGGGACACAGCCTCTTCCTAGGTTAAAAATGGTTGAGGATCAACCTGTGTTTCCTGTATTTTTCTAAGGTTTTTTATATGTAGTGTGTATGTGTGTGTGCATGCACGTGTGCACGTGTTTGTGCGTGTGTTCATGTCTGTGAGTTGCACGTGTGCATGTGCGTGCGTGTGGATGTGTGTTAGCATAGAATTGGCATCACTGGGTTATAGTGTGACCTTTTCTCTTGTTATTAAATAGTCTTTGATTACATGAGTTTAATGGTGGCATAACGTTAAACCATATGTACAAGTTATTGATCCTTTAACAATATCCTTGTTATTGAACATCTGTTGTTTCCAATTTTGCATCACTACAAATAACTGGCGATGATGGTGTGTACACATATCTTTCTGCTTGTCTATGGCATCTCCATAGGATTAATTTCTGCAAATTACTGACCCACAGGACATAACACCTTTTTAGGACCTGGATAAGCTTTGCCAAATGTCCTCCTGTGGCATCTCACATGTGTCAGCATTCTAGGACCAGCTCTCATCCCCTGGGCATTTCATAATTTTGTGTGTTTGTTATTATTAATGGGTTAAAAATTGGCGTCTCAGTGTTATAATTTGCTGTAACTCAATTAAATCTGGGCAGTTTTGTGACATATTCTGGACTGGTATCATATTCAGAGTAGAAACAATAAAAATAAAAAGTAATTTAAATCACGACTAAAGTCACTTAAAGAAAGCCAAAGGTGAAATTCCATTTGTAACGAATACCCATATGTCTTAAAATCCCACTTCCCAGCTTCTACGGTTTTTCCCTTTCCAGTTTTTATGGGAGATCTTCATTAAACAATCCTCCAGGGGGAGCCCTGGCGCCATCATCTGCCCCAGAGTGGGAGGCGGCTGGGCAGGATCTCCAGCCCAGGTCCCCAAGCTGTCCTCGCTCCTCCATCCTTACAGACTGTCAGGCTCCAGGTGTGGGACAGGGTGTGGGATGGGACAGGCGCCTTCTCCGAGGCTGGGGGAGAGTAAAGAGGGCTTGGAAAAGGCGGAATGGCTTGGGGGGGAGGGTTGTGGACTTGTAGGCACTAGTATTTCCCCTGTCCTTTTTGGCTTATTAATGTTAACAAGTATGTTTTTATATATTTATGAACTACATTTAAAATTTTTTATTATGGAGATTTTCAAACATAAATAAAAGGAGAAATAATAGTGTGATGAATCCATCACCTACATTGAACAGTTATTAAAATTTTGCCATATTTGTTTTCTCTATTTTTTTCTTTGCTGAAAAATTCTAAAGTTCTTCTTAGATATCATGACATTTAACCCCTAAATATTTCAATATATATCTCTAAAAACTAAGGGCATTTTCTGACATAAATACAATGCTGTTATCTCAACAATTAGCAATGATTTCTTAATATAATCTAAATCTAGCTCATAATCAGATTTCTCTAATTGTCTCCAAAATATCTTTACGCAGTTGTTTGATTTGGGATTCACAAAAGTTCTTTGTTTAAAAAAAAAGAGAGAGAGAGAGAAAAAGAAAAGAAAAAAATAAAAAAGCTTTTCCTCTTCAACTAGATCTGTAACGTTTCCTAGAATATAGTTTGTTCAGGAAAGCAAGAATAAATGCTTATTGTTTTCCCTTTGTTCCCAGTGTTCATAGTACGAAATTTGGGCACCAGCTGCTTCTGATGGTGACGGATGAGTTGTGTGTGTTTTGCGGGGCAACAGGGGAAGCTTCTCCCTCTTTTAGCGTTGTTGACATTTTGTTAATAGTATTCAGTCAGTTGTAGACATGACCTTTAAATGCTCCAGGTGGCCCATTTGGGGCCTGGGTCCGGGACCTTCTGCCATGCCCCACTAGTCTTGGAAAGCTTCCTTCCCTTCCGGCTGACAACTGCTTCAGCTCTGGAAGAGGCATCTCGTTCCTGGGCCTTCGGATGGGCGATTGGAGAGGGAAATCTGGCTCTGAGGGTGCTCACCGTTCCTGGGGTGTCATTGCCTGTAAGCTATTCAGCATACACTGGTAGGAAATGCAAATTAAAGTAAAATAAATCCTGATTTCATCTGATGTTTCCCATTCAAAACCATTATTTATGTAGAATTTACAGTAAAAATGTTTTATACTTGAATTCTTTCATTAAAATCTTGATTCCTATAACATTAACACCATTATTTATTAGCAATTTTTCTAGTAAATATGTGAAATACTTTCAAAGTAACAATATCCGTATTACCACCAGAAATGAAACTTCTTAGTGAGCTTCCAGATTTATCTGTAGTTTTTTTTGCCCTTAGAGTATGTCCTCAAAATACTGTATGTTAAAGTCATTTGAAATTCATCTTTCTTCTATTTACTTGCTTGAAATATAGTTATATTCCTTTGTTTCAGTGTGTTTCCAGTTATCAGAAATTAGGTGTTTTTTTTTTGCTCTTTGTTTTAATTTAATTTTTGAATATATAAAACATTTGTATGATTTCGTAGTCCAAACTATACAGTAAGGTATTAATTTATATTTTATTTTGTGACTTGCCTATTCATGTTCTTGTTCATTTTCCTGTCGGAGACTTTGAAAATTTCTTGTTGATTTTAAAAGACGTTAACTTTTGCAAATAATTAATTTTTTCTCTGAAGATTGCCTTTTAAAATTATTTATATTGTTGACATTTAGAAGTTTGAAATTTTTATCTTATCAAGTCTATTAACCTTTCTTTTAATATTTCCCCATCAATTTTATGCTTAGAAGGTTTTTTTCTCATTATGAGTATGTAAGTATAAATATTTACTTATTCTTTCTTATTGTTTTTATATTTTGACTTTTTATTTTTGTCTATAAAATAGATGTATGTCTTTTTTTGGTGCTTTAAATTCCAGCTCTGAGAATCCCATCCTGTGATTATACAAATGAATAATTGGAGCTCTGCGTTGAGAGTGAGTTTTTCATGATTTCCTCTGGTATTAGGCATAATGGGAGTTTAATGAGGCATCTCTTCCCTTTCGTACACAGGTGTGGAGGTCTCAGCCTCTGAAACTAGGAGTGACCTTTGAAGCTGAGGTTCTCTGCGACATCTCCCAAGGCCTTTCCTACACCTGGAGCTTCATGAACTCTGTGGGGTTGCCGGTGCCCCTGCCCCCTGCTATCAGCAGTCATGGGAAGACCATCACTGTCCCCAGCTACTTCCTGGAGCCTGGGAACTACACTGCACTTGCCAAGGTGGGCTGGCTGGCTTACGATTCCACTTGCACAATGAAACTATTCCTTTCTACCTGCTTTTGAGCAAGAGGTCAACACCTGTAAATCCAAACCTGTTCTATCTCAGAGAAGGGGGGTTCTCAAAAAAAAAAGTGTGGCTAGGATTTCAAGAGAAATGCTTAATTCCTGTGAGAGAACAGATTTTATCTTCAAATCCTGGCAGAGTAATCAATTAAAAACTCCTTCTTTTTTTTTGGTGAGGAAGTTTAGCCCTGAGCTAACATCCGATGCTAATCCTCCCCTTTTTGCTGATGAAGGTTGGCCCTGGACTAACATCTGTGCCCATCCTTCTCTACTTTATATGGGATGCTGCCACAGCATGGCTTGATAAGCGGTGCATAGGTCCGCGCCCAGAATCCGAACCTGTGAACCCTGGGCTGCTAAAGCAGAGCATGTGAACTTAACCACTATGCCACCGGGCCGGCCCCCTAAAAACTCCTTCTTCATTTAACAAAACCTTCCTCTGCACCTCCTTTGGTACGTCACTGCAATAGTCCCAGGATCTCAGAGGAATAATTGTGTCATCAAGGAGCTTATTGCTGAGAAAGGAAGGGAGAGGTTAGTCAAAGAGCGGGGCCAGGAGAGGGCATCCCTGGTGACCGTCACCAGGTGCTTGGTGTATTTCTGCTGGAAAAATGGTGAAAATATGTGGGTTATAAGAGTGAGGGGTTTATTCTAGAAGAGTTGGATTTGTTCTAGGAGAGTCTGTTCATAGGCGTAGAAAGTGCATGCGAGGGGGCAGCAGCTCAGCCAAGGCTGGGAAGGAGCCCAGGGCTATGGGCTGGTGTGTGAGCTGAGTGGAGCAGGTAGGGAGTGGACCCTGAAGGGAAAATCTGGGATCGGATTGCCAGGTGATGAAGGCCAGGCTGGGGTGGTGGACCTGAGACCAGAGCAATGCCACCCAAATGCGCCAGTGAGCGAGTTTTATTCTTTAATCTCTGGACACGTGGGCCTACTGTGTGCATCAGTGCCAGCTCCCAGTCACATGGCTCACACAGGAGTTCATCAACACCCAGACGGGCCCACACCTTGCTCCAGGAAGCACTCATGAGACAATTGGATGTCGCAGCAATATCGAACTGTGGTGAGGGTTTCCAAATGCTTCCTCCCAATTTCTGTGCTTAATTGTGCACCAGACCTGTAACAATGGGCCAGGTGACAGAGGGCTGCAGACCATGCTTTGAGTGGCAATGTTTCAGATGAAGGTAATAGGAAACATCAGAGGCAACAGAGTGTGATCCTTACTCTCCTTTGGAAATATTAGTTGGGAAAGAGTTGGAAACAGATTGAAGGATGGGACTTTACCATTAGAATACTCTTCTAGAGTGTTCACTGTTACTCTAGAGTATGTGAATACTAGTACTCTAGAGTGCTCACTATTACTCTAGAGTCTGCTGATACTAATATCTAGAGTACTCACTATTACTCTAGGGTCTGCTAATATGCTAGAGTGCTCATGGTTACTCTAGAGTCTGCTAATACTAATACTCTAGAGTACTCACTATTACTCTAGAGTCTGCTACTACTAAACTCTAGAATATTCTAATAATGAAGTCAAGAGACAATTAGAGGCTGAAACGGTCTAGAAGCAGTGGGAATAAAGCACAGAGCAGGTAAATATAGGATGGATTAAAGGGTGGGTGGGAGCAATTGACCTGCCATCTTGACTAATTGTAAGAATGAAATGGAAAAATCAGAGCACAGTCTTTAAGACTGTGTGAGTGAAGGAGAGTGAGGCCACTCTTCATGTTCCTAATGAAAACAGAGTGTCTGTTTGTGTCTGGTTCTGCACTAGGGAGGGATGGAAAGATAAATAAGGCCTTTGCACAGGTGAGCCCATCACCTAGTGGGAGAGGTAGGTGGGAACCCAACAAACTATAGATGATGTAAGACAGGCCACATGACAAGGGAGCTTGAGGAAGGGTTAGTGTGCCTTTGAAAATTGGAGTGTTGAAGGTTGGAGGAAGTATTCCATGATGGCGGAGGCAGTGGTCCCATCACACTGAAGGGTAGGGATTTGTGGGGCTGAGTGATGGGAGATGAGGCTGAAAACAGGCTGGGAGTTTCTTCTGAAGAAGATAGGAAGGCAGACTGATGGGAGGCAGGATGGGGTCATGGCTTCAGTGTTCAGCAAGTCATGTTGGAAATGTTAGGAGGATGTTCGGGTGGAGTGTCTAGCAAAGAGGTGGAGTCGAGGGCAGGAGCTGGGTGGAGCTGTTGGGAGCCGTTTGTGCAGAGAAGGGAAGTAAAGGAGGAGAAGCAAGGCAGGGAGCACAGCCTCCTGCTTGCGCCTGAAGTGGGAAAGGGAGGAGCGCTGGGCTGGGAAGCCAGCATCCTTAGGGGACAGGGGGAAAGAGCTTGAAAAGGAGGCAATGTCTTGGTATCTCTACAATAAGCATCATAAGGATCCCTTTTACAAGATTTAATTATGTTTACTTTTAAAATATTGGAAATGTTTTATTAGTTGTATTCTTTAAAAAAAATCGCTTGTTCCTGATTCAGTCTGTATTTTTTCTTGGTTCATCTCAATTTATAATTTTTACTGTCCACTATCACTTAGACAAGAAGTGTTCTGTTTCTATAATCAGTTGTGGGGTCTCTTTGGCACTGAGCTTTCTGGGAATTGATTCCTAGGATGGTATATTTGAGCCATACTGAAGTAGTCCAGGAGCAGACCCTGTGAGGTGGGCCGTATCCCACCAACCTTAACTTCCTGGTGTCCAGGTGAAGGTAAATGGGGTGGAGGGCGGTCCTGAGACAGACTGGCCAGCCTCCCAGGAGGCCTCACATGGGCATTCATCCAGGTATAATCTGGCCCTCAACTCTGCAGACCACAAATACTGTTGTCACGTTAGGAAGAAATGGTTGTTCTTGCAGGGGCTGGCTCATGCTGTATAAGGTCACAAGAGAGTGCTATGTGACCCGGCAAGAAGAGAAATGGACAGAACAGTGGAACCAAGGGGGTTCCCTCTCCATCCAGCAGCTCTCAGAGCGTGCGTGCAGTTGGATAAGGAGCATGAGATGGGCACTGAAATGGTTGTTAAGACCAAGCACTGGTAGCCTGGTGCGTCTAGCTGGTGACAGTTTATTTTCCCTAGACCCTGGATGGTGGGGTTACAGGCACCCCTCTCCTGGCCACATGGGAAAGGTTCGAGTTGAGGTTGAAGCTTCTGTGCTCAATAGCTCTGTTGGTTGGCACACTTACTCGTTAGCCATGTCACTGCCCTTGAGTGGGCTCTGGCCATGTCTTTCTTCAGGTCTTGGAGACCTGATTTGGTAAGGCATTTTTGCTGCTATGTGATCTCGCCACCACATGTTGCATTCAATGGGCACAGCCTCAGATGTCCAGAGCCCCCACCACGCTGCCGTCCTGACAGGTAGCTCCCACTCTGCACTTCCTCCATCCTTCACAGGCTTGGACATTCTCAATGGTTCCTTGGGCTGGAGGAGCTGAGCAAGCAGAGATGGGAGGTATAGTGGGAGTTTGATCACACAGTTCTTAGATTGCCTTTGGCTCCCACGCAGGGGAACTACCAGCAGAGAACTGTGTGGATCTTCATGAAGAAAGTCACGAAGGACCGAGGCCCAGACCAGTGAAAGAGCAGCATGTGCTAGACTGTATTTTTTTCAAATTGCATCAAACTTTTAAAAGAATGCTTTTGAATGCAGTATTTATAAAATGTTCCACTGTTCATGAGCTTAAAAATATTTGTCTTAAATTTCATCTACATTTCTTTAAGTCCATAATATGTTTGGGGGCTAGAAAGGCAGCTTAAAGAAAGTAAGTAAATGAAATCCAGGAACCACAGGGAAATTTACTGCTGATGGAGCAGGTTTGAAAACTGTGAAATATGTGCACACCTGGGGGGTTGTTATTTAAGGTAATATTATGGTCACAAACTAGGGAAATCCCAGCTTTGTGTATTAATACAGGCTTGGTTAGGAAAATGTTCCTTCTCTCATTGACTCCAGCCATGTTGTCTCCAGTGGGCACACAGTGGGATGTTTCTTTTGACAAAGGTGACTGATTAGGGGCTAGAAATAATTAAGTCTTTCTGTGCAGCACCTGAAGGCACTAGTTGGAGCCGATGACGCATTTAGACTCACCAGTTTCCTTCTAATTTTAAGATGAGCATCCAGCTCCTGTGAGCATCCTGCCTGGTCCCGAGTAACGCCCCTGTCATCGGTGTTACAGGTTCAGGTGGAAGGCAGCGCCGTGCACAGTAACTACTGTATAGGGGTGGAGGTGCGGGCCCGGGCCCCCGTCAGTTTGATCTCCGAGGGCACACACCTGTTTATCTCCAGGACCCCCTCGGCCACCATCGTCCTCAGCGGGTCCTCGTCCTATGACCCAGACGAGCCTGGGGCTGCTCTCAGGTGAGCACCGAGGGGCTTCGCAATTGCTCATTCTCCACACGGCCTTTCTCTTCCTCATCCACTCTTTCCAGACTCTGGCTCTAGAACGTTGAGAGAGCTGGTCTTAGAATTCTGCCATAATAATTAAAAATTTTAAGTACCGCAACTTTTATTAGCTGAACTGACGTTTCATGTAGGATCAGAAGAGCAGAGAATTTAGGAAAGGGCTGGAAATAAACATGAGTAACTTTGTAAGTTGGTATTTTGGAATATGAAGTTTAAATATTCTCTTAGTTCATGCTGCTATAACAAAATACCATAGACTGGGATGCTTATAAGCAACAGATGTTTATTTCTTACAATTCCGGAGACTGGAAGTCCAAGATCAAGGTGCTGGCAGATTCAGTGTTCAGTGAGATCTGCTTTCTGGTTCATAGACAGCCGTGTACTCGCTTTGTCCTCATGTGGTGGAAGGGATGAGGGAGGTCTCCGGGGCCTTTTTATAAGGGCACAAATCCCATTCATGAGGGCTCCACTCTCAGGACCTAATCACCTCCCAAAGGCCCCACCTCCTAAGACCATCACCTTGGGGGTTAGGATTTCAACATATGAAATTGACGGGACACATTTAGTCCATTGCGAATATGTTACTTTATTATTAAAATTTTTGGTTTGTAAGGTGCATTTGGTGCGTGGGAGGTTTGGTTTCCAAGTGTTGCATCTCTCTAAATGAGTGAATCCCTTGATATTGGAGACCCCTGGCTCAGGCGTGGGTTGTCTTCTCCATCCATACCCCTCCCCGGGTGGCCTCACCCAGTGTCCTGATTGTAGCTACCATCCACTCACTAATAACTTTGAGCATGTATCACCGTGCACTCCCAAATAACCTGTCACACATCCTCCGTGGACACCATCCGTGCACCAGTAACCTCAAGCATGCTTCCTCTGTCCAGAAGGCTCCCCAGTCTCTAGGGTGGAGTTCCTGTCGTCTCCTCGGCATCCTCTCCCATGTTCCTAGAGACGTGTCAGCCACAAGACCTGCCTTCTCCCCCTGCAGCCTTCCCGTCCCTCTCTGCTGATGGAAGACTCCTTCCAGTCGCTCAGCACGGAAACTTCAGCAGCATCATTGGCTTCTCTTTTTCTCTCCTGCGTCCTGTCCAGTCTGTCAGGAAATCTTGTTGGCTCCTTCCTGGTCTGAGCCGCCACCCCCTTGGGCTTATTTCCATAATGTCTCCTCACCAGTCTCCACACTTCCACCCTCCCCGTTCAGTCCATTCTCCACAGAGCAGGTGGACGGAGTCTCTTAAAACATGTCAGAAACCATCATGTCACTGCTCCAGACCCTCCAATGCTGCGCTTTCACTCAGTGAAACCACGTCCTCACAATGCCTGTGAGGCCCACAGTGACCTGCCGCTGCCACTGCCGGTGACCCTTGAACTTCCTCTCCTCCTGCTTTGACTTTCTCTCTGATGCAGCCGGGGCCCCGCCCCCTTGGAGTGGGGTTGTGCTTCTCCCTCAGCACCTCTACAGAGAAGTGCCTTCATCTGTCAACATCTGCTAGCACCTTGCTTCCTTCCATTCAGGCTCAAACATCGCTGTCCCAGTGAGGCCCCCCAGTGACCCTATTCTGATTCTGCTGTTCCTTTTTCCATAGCGGTCTTCTCCTCTAGCATCCAATCATTTGCTCACTTATTACGATCACTGTTAATTGTCTGTCCCCCCGCTGGAATCTTAGCTCCAGGAGGACAGGGCTTCTGGTTTGGCATACCCCTGTGCTTGGCACATGGCGGGTACTCAGTGAACATTGGGGAGTAAATAGAGGAGCCACTTTGTTCCCTTAAGTCTTATGACCACACGCACATTTGCTGCATTCCATCCGAGGGCTTTGGCGTGTTGTTAGCCCCGTGCAGCTGAGAGGCATCCTCTTGGACCCGCCAATTCTGTCCCTTGGCCATTCTCACGCACATCTTCCAGACAAAGCACACAGCTGGCTGAGTACCTCCCTTCCCCCAGCCTCAGGAGACAGAGCTGGGTCTTGTTCATTTCTGCACCCCTCCCCCTAGAACCCAGTAAGGTGCCCAAAGAGAAGAGCTCAGTGTGTGTCTGCTGAAACAAGCTGAATCTGCTCCCTGGGAGTGAGGAATACTACAGCTGAATCCTGGAGGACCATGCTCCGCAGGGCGTGTGAGCTGGACCCACCAGCTGAACGGGGCTGAGCTCCTGCCGTCTGGGTGATGAACGGAATTTTGCGATGCTGCCGCCTCATGCAGGCTTTGGAAAAAGAGAGGTTTAGAACTACTTCCAGGTTCAAATCGCTTACAGTCCAGATAGGAAAATGGCTCTTTGACAGATCAACAGCACTTCAGAGACTTGGGGAGCACCCACACGGGGCTCACTGCTGTGGGACCACACAGTCCCGTACCTGCCTCCCCTCCCCCTGCACACGTTTTCCTTCCTGCCTCTTTCCCTGGGTGGGGCTGTTTGTTTCAGTGTGTGTCCTCCGCTAGAGTAAGACCTACTCAAGGGTGGGGATGGTGCTGCCTTCCTGATTGTTGAACGTGGCAATGTCACCTTGCAGAGGATGATGAGATTGGGAGGTGAGGTGCTGTGGTTTGTCTCCTGGCCCACCCACTAGTACTTCTGGGACTGGGCAACTCCCAGAGGCGCTTGGAACTCATTTTCTTCCCGAAGCTGGGATGATGCAGCCTTCCTGTCTGCCCCATGGAACTGCAGGGTCAGAGGCAGTTTGCTAAGCGCTGCTTGGTGGGGTGCAGAGATGTGACGGAGGTGGGAGGTGGTCTTTGTGCAGGGCAGTGTGGAAGGAGAGAACGACCCAGGCAGATGGCTGCCAAGGGGATGGGAAGCACTTGGCGACCGGGAAGCAGGGCGGCATGTGAGGTCTCCAGGGCTCTGAGCAAGTGAGCTGGTGGGGGCTGGGCCTGGACCCCTGCCTTGGTGGTTCTGCTCCCACTTTTGGAACCTCCTACCCCACTTACATCAGAGAATAAGGAAACATCCTGTCTCTCCAGCCCATGCGCTCCCTTGCGAGGACCCCGGGAAAAGCCCACTTAGCGACACCATGGTCACCTGACTGGCCGGAGCAGTTGCGTTCAGCCCCTTCAACGCCTCTCCCACAGGTATCACTGGAAATGCACCGCAGCCAGCACCCCCGGGCACACCTGCTTCCCCGCCTCCGCTCCACGCGGCCTGCACGCCTCGGCCCCCACGCTTTCCTTTGCAGCGAACTCTCTCAGTGACAGCTATGACCAGTTTCTTGTGACGCTGATGGTGTCCAGCGATGGCCGGACCTCGTCAGAGGCACAGGTGTTCCTGTCCACACGCCCCGACTTGGCGTTCAGGTACCACCTGCCCTGCATTCCCCACAGTGCAGATCCGCGGGGTTTGCCCTCCTGCACCCTGCGCCCAGCTGGTGTTGAGAGTGACCAGAGAAACCTGCTGTGCATGCAGGAGTTGAGGGTGTAGCTGCACACCATCCCTGCTGCTAAGGAGGGAGGGGGCTGGGAGGGCCCCTGCTCTCACACTGGCCTCTGGGCAGAGCTTGCTAGGCTAGTGCTCACATCTGGTTGCTCCAAGTGGGAGGTGGCCCTCCCATCATAGCAGGTACCCTAAGATGGGGGTGGGGGTGGGGGGGCGGTGTTCTGCTCTGGGGCTTGGGGCTGAGGCCAAAGGAGGCAAAGGCATTTCAGGGCCTCTACCTGGGGCCTTCCAGGCATCACCGGGCTGGGGCCCGGACAGTAGCGTCGGCCCACACATTGGAGGTACTCAGCCAGTTGAGCTTTGACGTGGAGACTATGCAGGGTGGAAGGAGCAAAGAAATGCTGTGACCACAAACCAAAACCCCGCAACATCGAGGCCAGAGTAGCCCCCGATGGCCACACGCAGCCCCAGACACTGAGTGCAGGCTGTTGTGTGCCATACACCTGCTCCCGGCCTTCCCTGTGTAGGCTGGGTCGTTAGGGGAGTGAGCGGGGCGGGGGGGGGGGGGCGGTGAGCCGAACCACCAGTGCCCATGGCTCTGCATGACACCTGGAAGGCCCCTGGGGAGCAGGGTTGCTTCCATCACTGGACCCAGTAAGGGGTCTGGGCAGTTATTATTGTCTTGTTGAGTAAAAACAGCTTGTGGTAACAGTGTGGGCTGAGTGAGTTCTGGAAGGCTTCCTGGAGAAGGAAGTGAATCAGCTGTGCCTGGCAGGACCAACAGGAAGGAGAGGGCGTGAGCTGTGCCTCCGAGATCAGAAAGGCCACTCTGATGGAGAGCCACCCCCCCAGGGATTTTAGGTTTGAAGCTGTGAAAAATAAGGCTCAGTAGATAAGAATGGGCCATGCCACGGTGGGCCTCAAACGCAGGACAGTGCTTTGAGGTCCAGACAGACCCAGGCCACTTGTGTTTTATTTAAGGCTCCTGATATTTATATTAAAAGTGAAGAAATGCCAGTACAGGGCTGCAAGTGTTGGGGCATAATTTAAATAATTATATTTAATAAATTAGATACTTTTATTCTCAAAATATAATGCACTATATAATTCTGCTACTCACAAAATAGTTAGAGAATGTGTTTAAAAATGTTCCTTCACCATGTATAAAGTTGTTGGATCAACACCTGTCAGTCCTGTCAGGAATTATCTGGGCCCCTGTGACAATGTCCCTGGGGGTGTCTGGGGCCAGACGGGCCTCTCTTTGCACGTGTCCACCTCATCTCCTCCCCACCCCACCCCCCACGCATACACCATGCATGACCCCCGCCTGCACATGCAGCTCCCAGTCAGGAGACCAGGGAGGCCAGGCAGGGGCATTGCCTGGCCCTGTGCCAGCCTGTCCGTGAGTGTGTGTGTGTCTCTGTGCATATGTGTGTTTCTCTGTAGGTGTCCAATGTATGTGTGTGTGCTTATGTGTCTGTGTGTCTCTGCCTGTATGAGTGTGTCTCTCTGTGCGTGTGTGTCTGTGTATGTGTGTGTGCCTCTGCATGTGCATGGGCTGCCCGGTCCTGGCTCTCCCCTGAGCTCTGTGTGACCTGGAAGAAGTGGCAGAGCCTCTCTCAGCTCAGTGCGTTGCCTGCTAGGACCTGGCCCTTGTCAGATGAGGTCATGCTGGGTCAAGCTAGGTGCAGGCCTGGCTACCCGTGAGTGCTCAGTCATGTCAGCTGTGGCGCTGCTATTGGATTCACAAAATAAAGGCTCAGTGGAAGGCGATTTAAACGTGCCTGACATGAATGAATGCGGCCAAAGAATCCTCAGGTTATTTTCCTAAAGTCTCAAACCCAATTTGCATGTTCCAGATTTGTCCACATCTCCCGGGTCAATTTTAAGGACATCTTTGTTAACTGGAATGAAGAACTTTCTCTTCAAGCTGAGTGTGAAGGCTGTGGTGAAATATCAAATCTCTCTTACTCCTGGGATCTGTTTTTAGTTAATGCAACAGAAAAGAACAGTATAGAAGGTAAAGATTATTGTTGGCTTTATTTTGTTAACTAAGGAAAAACCTCAGAGTTACTTGAGGTTGCAAAACTTTGCCAGATCTGATTCATTTGAACCAGTGTATCTGGTCTTGCCCACCACTTTATTGTGTCTGCTGGTTCCTCTTCTTTTATGCTCATGTGGACGGTTGTGACAGCACAGGGCAGATCAGGTGTTCAAATGCTGCTTCTCAGCCTTGTAGCCATAAGGGGCCTGGACCCCGTGTTCACTGAGGCAGCTGTGGCTATTTGTAATGACTCACGACGTGCTCACCCATCCAGGGCCTCTGTCCCTGCCAGCCCTCGCTTGTCCTCTGGGGCGGCTGCCCTGGGACTGGGCAGAGGAGCCGGAGGAAGGCCTGGGGCCAGTCCTCCCTCCGGCACATGAGCTGACACTTCAGGAACTTCTCTAAGACCCAGTTTTCTTGGGTGAGAAATGTGGATCATAACACTACACAGTGCAGTGGTGAGGTTAAATAAAATCATGTGTGGAGACACACTGGGCCCTGGTGCCAGGATGCGGGCCTCTAGGTGCGTCAGCTGCTGGGTTAGAACCAGGAGTGAAATGAGTCCTCACTGGTGGTATTTGTGAACAGCAAACAGAGGGGCTTTTATTTCTGAGCTGGACACGGCTGGCTCCTGCAACCGAAGCTTGTGCCAAGCCCTCAGAGATGCACATTTATTTATTTTTTATCCGTTCAATGGGGCCGTACAAAGCTCCCATACGTAGAGCTCTGAGTACAGCTGACCTCCACGGCTGAAGGGACGTGAAGACATAGAGGCGATTGTGCCCTTATTTGCAGGGGCGCCTTCCCACATTCTTTAGGTAAATTGAATTTCTGAATCAGAGCCTATGCTGAGTGTATCAGAAGAGCTTGCCGTGGAAACACACCCAGTGGTTAAACTTTCAGCAGAGCAGAAGATTGTCCCTAGACTGATGTATCTCAGCCTTTACTGTCAAAGAATCTTGTTCTCTCATGGGAAAGTAAATGCTTACTTTATCGAGACACCATTTCTTATATCCTTGGAAATTTTTTCTTTGTTTTTGATCCTTTATCATAAATTATACCAATGACTTTTAGAATTGTTACACTAGACACTAACTGAAAGGTGAGTATTAGGAGAGACTCCATGTGCCCAGATTGCTTCTAGAATACTTGTGAATAACCCATGCCAGGAGATGCAGAGGGTGCGGCAGGCCCCTCTCAGTTCACGCAGGGACTGAGGGAGAGCAGATCCCAGGTGTAGTGGTTGTTGGCGCCCGTGTCCTGCTCCATACGTCTGCTTCCTCCTGTTGCTCTGCTCGCCACCAGGTGACAATGGCTGTTCCACAGCATTTATGTCAAATTTGTTTAAAATGGAGCCTTCTTAAGTAATCTGCAGACCTTTTTAAACCACATGGGCCTTTGTCCAAATTTTTAATAGTGTTAAATGTTTGTTTAAGTTCCCTTTTGTCGAACAGTGGGGCTGCTGGGATCCTCAGAATTTGGGGCCGTTTTGAAGTTGTCAGGGTCTAATCTGCCGTCCCTGGAGCCACGCAGGGCAGATCCCTATGCAACGACCACTCCATCCTCATGGAAGCCGTGGCCGGAGACCCCGAGCCAGCCTGCCCTTTCAGCTGCGGGGAGAACCTCCACGGAGTCCACGATCGGCATGCACTGGGCTCCCACTGCCGGTGACCCTGCGGCCCCAGGGGGGGCTCCCCGGAATGAGGGGTCCCCAGGGCCCACCCCCTCTGGGAGAAGCTTGCCTCCACAGAACCTGTCCCCTCACTCCCCTGGTAAGTGCCTGTCCCTGGTGGTCTAGGTGTGAAATCCGACCCACACGGGCCTCAGCCTCACACCCACAGCTTGTGTGTGATGCTCATGGAGTCTGTTTCCTCCTCTATAACCTGGGAAATATGGGGAGTCTGGGCTGCAGTAAGTGATCTGTCCATATCAGCTTGCTCATCTTTCTCTCCTCCTCTAGTGGTCAACTGGTTCACTTTACCACTGGTTTTCAGGTTGGGAAGAAACTATTTTTGTGCCTAAAAAATTGAGAGAAAAGTTCAGTATCAGTGAGACAGGTTCTGGCCCCGCGTCTGCCGTCTCCCTCATTGTCCCTTCCCCATGGTACCATTTGATCTGGCTGCTCACGTTCAGGGGACGGAACTGTCTTTGCCCTGTGCACCTGGCAATGCCGCCACACCCCAGGGCTCCGAGCCTCAGGTCAGCGAGTGGGAGGACCTCTGTGAAATCTTCAGACTTTGGGAGAGAAGGGCTGAGGGGACAGAAAAGTGACATTCACAGCAGGATGCTCTTATGTCCGTTTCTTTCCCTTTAAGAGAAAAGAACACAATGTGTTCTCTGAAAGAACGGTGGAAGCATGTTTGAAGGGAGGATGCCAGGCCTCGGTCCCCAGATCTAGTAGCCGGGTTATCTTTGGAAAGCCACACACCTACTTGGAACACCAGCTCCTCTTGGGGACCCTGGGGACAATGACACCTGTCTCCCCCCGTGTCATGATGATGCAGTAAACTGCCTTTGAGGGGGTTTTGTAATCCACAAAACGATGTGTGGATTCCAGAAAAAGACCAGGGGCAGCATTTGTGATCTGTCAGGAGAGTCAGTATTGATTTCAGGGGAGTCTGTGGTTTTAAATGAAACATTATGATTTTGCCCTTTCATATAGATTTTGAAGCCTATTACAGTGATATCCAAGAAGCAATGCCATCCAAAGGGAGACAGCCGGGTCACTGTGAGTCTGTAACTGGTACCTCTTTCTGGAGCCCCGTGTGTCCATGTCTCTTCACTCCAGTCTTTCCTCCACACCCTCTTCTGAAATCTAGGTTTACTATGCTACTCCCTTACCTTAAGATCACCAAGAGCTCCCAGACTCAAAGGGAAAAGTTTCAGCTCCTTTGCACGGCATGATCTGATCCAAACCTTTATTTCTATCTCGCTTACTTCTGCACTTCAAGTATCCTATGCTTCCATGGTGTGTCGTCTACCAGAAATGCCTCCCTCAGCATCCTTCCCAAGTTGTCATCTTGGAGAGCTTCTTCCTTCCTGTCAGCTTCCATTTTCCTCTCTCTGAGAAGTTCTATCCTTATCTTATAACAGCCTCCTCCAGCAGGGCAATGTATTTATTCCCACCTATTTAAAGCAGGTGGCATGTTGTACTTGCTGACTCTTCTGTGTCTGTCTCTGCCACTGTGAGATTGGCAAGGAAAGCTTCCATGGCCGATTTATACTTGTGTCCCCAGGACTGTCACAGTCCCTGGCGTATTGGCATTCAGTGAGCACGTTATCCAATGACTAGATGGATGGTCAGTGAATGATTTGTTATCAGATGAATAGATGGACGATCAATGAACAGTTTGTTTATTTGATGAATAATGAATGATCAGTGAATGATTTATTTGTGTCTGGAATGAATAGATAGATGATCTGTGAATGATTTATCTATTGAATGAATAGATGGATAATCAGTGAATGATTTGTTTATCAAATGAATAGATGATCAGTGAATGATTTATCTAATGAATAATGAATAATCAGTGAATGATTGATTTGTCTATGGAATGAGTACATGGATGATCAGTGAATGATTTGTTTGTGGAATGAATAGACGAATGATCAGTGAATAATTTATTTACCTAATTTACTCAGTGTGTTCTTGGGCAGTCCTCCTCAGTTGCCTCCAGTGTCATGGTTTCTTCAGCCCCTGTGCCCCTTCCTGTTACTGTACACAGCTGTTCTGGGGGCTTGCTTTTGCACGCCCAGTAAGTGCTTAGTAAATAATATTGAATGAAAAAAAAGCATTGCATTCATAAAATTACTCCTCCTGACAGTTGAGGGTCCATTCTAATCCCCTAACATTGATCCCCTTTGTCATTCTATCTCGTTTCAATGACCTTCATTTGAAGTCTTGAATTAGCCTTCCCTAAGCAAAGTCCAGCCCCATCTCTTGCCTCTGCCGTGCAGGGACCTGTCATCGTCTCTCTGCTTCCATGCTGCTGCCTGCAGTCGTCTGACTGCTTGGCCAGAGCACGCTTAGGACACAACCCCGATTGTCACTCCTAACCAGTCCCTCTGATGGCCTCCCACCATGCTGAGAGTGGCAACTGAGGGCCTTGGCAGTTTCTCCCGTCTCATTTCTGCCCTCTTCCTCTTGCTCACTCCCTGCACCCACATCACAGATCGTTCCCACAGTGGTTTCTTCAGAGCTTCTTCAAGTCTGTGTTCTGAGCCTCTCCCAGAGGGGGACCTCCCTGACCACCATCTCTAAAATAGCCCCCTCCCAATCTTCTCTCCCTCTCTCTTTCTCTCTCATGCCCTGCTTTATCTTCTTCGTGGCAGTTATCATTACCTGGCTGTGTAGTACTTATGTCAGTATTTTCTTGTTTGTTTTTCTGACTTGCTTACCACAGAATTCCAGGTAGCAGGGCCTCTGTTGCTCTGGTTACTGCTGCGTCTCCAGTCCCTCTAGTACCTGGGCTTAGTAGACCAGAATGAATGTTGAATAAATGAAAGGAGGGAGGAAGGAATATGCAGTTGTATCACTAATCATATGATGAAGAAGTTCATCTCTTGAATATGTTTGGTTGCTAAAGACAATTTTAGATATGTGGTATCCAGCAATAGTGGAAATAGTTCTTGATACTGACTTTGAACATGAAAAGAATAAAATGAAAAGAAGATCATCAGGACTTCTTTCTTCACCATCCCTTCGCTTGGTTTGTCTTCTTAGGGACCAACATCAACCTTCCAGGATCAGGACCAAGTGCAAGTGCTGATGGGAGCCGCGGTGACGGGGACAACCTGGTGGGCCCCTTCCTCCCCACTGTTAGTGCCAGGCCTGCGCTCTTGGTGGACTGGCCCAAGTCTGTGGTCAGCCGGGCTGTTTTCCATGGCTACACCTCATCTGGTATGAACACCCTCTTTGCATCCTGGAATTTGCAGCTGTTTCAGAAGGGTTTGGATACCAAACCCTCAATTTCTTCTGTAACTTTTCCTTTTACTAGAGAAGTATTTGGGTCATGGTACCTTCTTGACTTGTGTTTGTCCCTCTGTGGACCACAGGCTGAGGCTCTTTTATCAAAGGTAGAATTAGCTTCTGGTGCCTGCCAGGAGCCTCCTGTTTTCAGACTAAGGGGAAGAGCCTGCTAAGACGATGTGTGCGAAGGGCCCAGAGAACTGGTGCCTGGACACCTCTGTGCACATGTTCTGATGCGCCCTTTCACAGTGTGGACGCGTCCTTCCACAAGTGAGCACAATGACGCTGTTCCTGAAGAGCAGTTGAATTTTGATGGTTTCCCAGTGCAGACTTCTGGTTCTGCTCAGGTTGTTGCATCGACGCCTTTCGTGGTAACACATATGGTTACATCATCCCTCTGTGGAGGCTCTAGGTATCCCACTGTTGTTTAACTGTTGCCTCCTCACCCTTTCCTGGCAGAATTTCAGGAAATGGGGTTTTCAACTGTGATGTTTTAACTGTCCTTGTTAGATCAGCAGTGTTGCATTTTGGACCTCCTGTGTTTAGGGTATGCAGTTCGAGGGTCAGCCTCTCCCTGCTGAGGAAGTAATGCAGTCACTATTGGTCCAGATTTCACAACCAGTATCCTGCAAAGACTTAGAAATTGTTTTGAAATACCTTAATCATACTTTATGGATAAAGTACAATTATAGAATAGTCAAGTTAAACACTGAACCTAGTTGTTCATATATAAAATAAGTTCTTACCAGCGTTCTCTTTTGCCAGGCAGGTGAGTGTCTTTCCTGAGCCAGGGCTCACTGATCCCTGCTCAGTGTTGCTTCTGTTGGGCAGGGGAGACTGGGAATGAGCTTTTTGCTCTGTAAAGAGGGTGGGTGGTGAACAAACTAATGGCATTTCCAGGTAAGAACAAGCATGTTTAACTAGTACTATTTTCTCATCATCTCTGGAGGGAGAGTGAAACCTGTGCCAAAGGGGTTTGTCTGACTTCCTGTCCTTCAGAGTCGCTGTCGGTTGTTTCCATGCGGTCCCTCCTTTCCCGTAGGTATCACAGAGAAAACTGTGACGATAAAGCCGTACTCACTGAGCCCTGGAGAGACGTACGTCCTACAAGCCTCTGTGGGTATGTTAAGCTGTCAGCTAGATCTGGTGTGGGGGACGATAAGGGTTTGCTATATTCATATGTTTCTCCTGGAAATTGCAGTCACCTCTGACTGTCTGGGGCTCTTGTTCCAGAATGTCCTGACTGTCCCCTTCTTCCTCTCTGTCACTTTACTGTTCATTGTTACTTCCTTATGTTAGAGGATCCGGGAAGGAGACCTGAGCATGGCTCTGTAAATTTACTCTTCCTTAGGGGATCAGGTGGACGTTCAGATCAGGGTAAAGGCCAAGCAACTGCCTTTTTTTTAATTACACATGTATTTTGTTTGTCCTAGATAACTGCATGAGTTCACTCCTCTGCAAATTGGTTGATAATGTCTACATATATTTAAAACCCAGCCAGGTGTTGTTCCTATTGTTCTGCGGAGTCAGTGTTGTTTAAATTCACCACGTTTACCTTCGCCCTGCTCCACGTTCCTTCTGGCATTTCCATGACTCAATCTGACGTCTGCCTTTTGGATATCAAATTTTTAGAGATTTCTAGTTCCGCATGACAAGCACAGAGCCGTAAACAGTTTTCATCTACAGATGGGTTTGGTTCAGTGTCCACATTTTTGCGTTAATTGAAACCCCTTGTGCATTTTCGGTTTTGCACTCCACGCTGACTCCGGTTTCTCCAAAGGAAGAAACCAAAGGTTAACTTCTGTCTGAAAACCTGGTGGTGGGGCTCAGTAAGGCCCCCAAGGATTGGTTTGATTCTCACTGTTTTTGACATCTTTGTGAACATCCTTCTGCCCCTCCCTCGGTGCATTTAGAAACTAAACCCTGGGCCTTGTTTTGGGCATGAGAGGCCCACATTTGCTTTTGTTTCCGTAAATGCCTATTGCCCTTTGGCAAGACCTCTCTCTCTTTTGCCTCTGAAATTCGTCCAAGTAACATGTATAAAGGCCATTCTCTCGGATTGGTCACGTTCAGTGCTGGGGGAGGAGACTGAGAGCACCTCCACTGCCCCAGACCATCCTAGTGCAGGCCTGGTGTCAGCCCTTGTCTCCCTGTGCCCACCCTTGCTACTGCAGCTCTCCTCTTGGCGCCCTCCTGCTCACCCCAGGCTCCTCCATGTCTCCAGGTCTTCCCTGTGGTTGTTTCAGCAGGAATGTCTGTTCTTTCCCCACGTCACTGCCCTAGTCCAGTACGACTCACACACCAAGACCGCTCAATGTGTCTCCTGCTGTGACATCCCTGGTTGGCTCAGAAGTAGTCACTCCTTCCTTTTTGACCTTATGTCTCTTACAGGATCTGTCTTCCATGGTTGAGGTGACTACTGAATAAGATAATATATGAACAGTATCTAGCCCAGCACCTGGTGTAGAGCAGAGGCTCAGCAAATGATACCTGCCATTATGATGATGATGATCATCATCACTGACATCATCAAAATTTTAAACAATTTCAACATGTAAATCTTACTCCTGTAATTCATCTCAAGAAAAAGACATCAAAAGTAAAAAAAAAAATCTTTATATATGAGAATAACCATTATAGAATGATTAATAATAGCAGAAAATAGAAAATAAAATGTTTAATTGTTGGGGAATAAGAGTTATGCATGCCGGAGTATATCTATTTATAACAGCTATTTACGACAGTGATTTTGAACACTATATGGCAACATGGAAAATATTTATGATATTAAGGCAGTTAATAAAACAAAATATTAAATTATATCACACTATAAATTCAACTCAGTTATACTTACATGTGTTTATGGAAGAAGCTTTAGGAGAACGCAGGGAGCGGAGAGGGTTTGGTTCTGGAGTGCTGTGTTCTTTAGTGTCTTCTGCTCTAGACTCTGATTGCTGTCAGTGTGCTTGTTGTCTGGCTCCCAGGTGGGAAATTTGTCTTGTCCACTATGATCTCCCGGGACCGAGGGTTGTGGCTGCCCTGCAAGTGAGTGCCCAGTCAATACGTGTATGTTAATGGATGCTGGACGGCAGTGGTCCTCACCTTCAGTGTACATCAGAGTCCCCTGGAGGGTGTGTTAACGCGAGTCACTGGGTCCCACCCCCTGGTTTCTGACCCAGCAGGTCTGGGGTGAGGCCCAAGAATCCAATTTCTCACAAGTTCCCAGGGGCTGCTGCCAGTCTGCGCACCACACCTTGACAACCTCATGAGGTTTGTGCTATAAAAACAGAATCCCATGCTGCTGTGATTCTCCATCATGCATTTAATACCCATTTCATTTTTCCTATAGGTTCAAAGCACAGTTTATTAGGGAAAGCTCAGCTGTACTTGACGGTCAACCCAGCTCCTCAAGACGTGGCCTGTCAGGTGCAGCCCCATCACGGCCTCGAGGCACACACCGTCTTCAGTGTCTTCTGCATGTCGGGGAGACTGGTATGGCTAGCACCTCCACATCTGTCTTAAAGGACTGGAGACAGCTGCAACCCTCGGAGGTTGTGGCCAGTCTCTGGATGAAATGCTGTGGGATGTAAAGCTCAATCCTGGGGTCAGGCACGAGTGCGACCGCCTTTCTCTCTGTCCTCGTGGTGTAGACACTGACCTGCTCCTGCCTCACGTCCTGCCCAGGCTGCTCCTTCTCTCAGAAACCCAGCTGCATCCTCACTCAAGGCCCAGTTCAAATGCCCTGCTCTCACACCAAGAGCGTTTTGCAGAGTGCTCCTTCTCCTGTCTCCTGTCTGTTGTGTCCCCCAGTGGAAATCGGAGGTGTAGCTACCTCCCCTTTGCCCCGAGGAGGCCCAGACAGTCTGTGCTTCTGTGACTGTTGGGGGTCCCAGGCTGGGAGAGCACACAACCCTGAGTGACAGACGCAGCTGTTGTTTGGAGTCCTTGCGGCTCTGTGGACAGGGGGGCCCTGGAGGTGGGAGGCCACCCTGCATGGGTGTGCATTTGGGGACACTTAGCTATTACCTGCCCCTGCCCTTCTGAAACAACATCCTCGGGTGGAGTGATGGACGCAGGTGTATGTTTATTGGGGCTGTTTGTTGATCTAATCAGTTTGTTGATCTGTGCTCTTTTTTGCTCTCTATGGAATGGATCATAGGACTTCCGTTATGAATTTAGTTACCAGATAGGAAATACCTCCAAACACACTTTGTATCGTGGGAGAGACAGCCAGTATTATTTTGCGCTGCCTGCTGGTGAGCCCTTGGACAATTATAAAGGTAAGTCACGGTGGATTTGGGTCGCTGGCTATGCTTACTTAAAGCTCTAAAACTTTTCCCCTGGCTTTCAAAAACTAAAAATTGTTAAAAGTATGTCTCCAGAAAATAAAATTCGTATTTATTCATCTTCATAAGTTGAATGCTTTTTAGTTTAGGTTGATTACCTACTTTTTAGCAGAAAGAACATTAGTAATATTATAAATAAATTAATTTTTTGTGTCTTAAATTATAACTGAAATATAATGTGAACGATAAATGCCAAAGAATGTTTTGCATATATAAATCAAATATTTGAGACCAAGTTATCCCTTTTTTGCTTTTGAACTGTGCAGCGTCTGGTGACTCTTGCATTAGTTGTGGACTAAACTAAATCGAGGTGCTCCCACCAAGAGGAAGATATGGGGTGACGGAGTGTTGGAGTAGCATGTGCTACTCTCAGAACAGAGTGAGGTCCTTAGTATCGACCACTTTCTCCTCTGAGCCCTGTCCCTACAGCCCTGTCCAGTTCTAAACCAGTGCCTGGAAACTGCCTCAACTGAGCACATTCGAGGTGCAGCCCTTCAGGAGAACATCTGGGTGTGCAGAACCTAGCCCCGAATCTCTGGGGGTGAGAGAAGGTTTTTTTTTTTTTAAACTTCCAGATGACTCCAATGTGGAGGCAAGGTTGAGGGTCACTGATCTGGAGGTTTCTTTGACTTGAGCTGGAGAGATTATTTCAGCCTGAAGTCTGAACTAGTTCATCCACCTGATTTGTTTAAATCTCACCTCTCCCTTAAGGCCAGCTAAGATATTTTCTTCGTCATAAAACCTTGCCTGATCCCTGGTTAGAAATGCTTGCACCTTCTTCTGGGTGCAGGTCAGTGAAACTGAGCAGAAACATTTTGAGCAAGACACTACATAATTGTTTAGGGTGGACACGTCAGCTTTGTGTCACAGCAGGCACAGGACATGTTGGTTGATGGTTGGAGGTGGTTTCCACAGGCCTGCCTTATAAGTTCTTCAAGACTGAGATTGCACTCACCCTCTCTTCTCGAAATTTCCTTCAAAGTGGATGCTCATCCCAGGCTCTCCCACTTGTTGATATTGGACATGCAGCCCCATCCTGAGAGCTGGGACAGAAGAGGACTTGTCCTTAGAGGAGAGGAAGCCAAAACACAAGGGCATTCTTCTTGAGGCAGCCACTTCTATTCAGACCGGGTGGTGCCCTCATGAGACTGCAGCCTGCAGGGGCAGGTGGGACCCCTGTCCTCAGGCATCTGCACACCACAGGGCCGGGCAGACATCCAAATAGAAGGACCCTGGGCCAGGGCCTCGGCTCCGTGTTGGAAGAAAGGATTTCTTAACATAAATTTGTAGAACCAAATTTCAGGCCACAGTCACAGAGCAGTGTCAGGGTGAGTGATGTCACTCAGATCCTTCCAAATGAGTCCACAATGAGTTGTGATTGTCAATATCAGTGTGGTCAATTCCTATGAATATTTGAATTCAAGATTTATAAAGGGATAAACATAAGCAAAATAAATACAATTTAATGGATATTTAATCATATCTTGTCCCATCTCGCATGAAGTTTACACAGACAGCTCTGACTCGAGGTGTCAAATGGAGTCTTGCCTAAACTCTGCTCCTACTCTTACATTCTCCGTCTTGATTCAGAGGACCCACTGTTACCTGCAGTGGAATCACTGGGGTGCTTTGTAAAATTGCACCTTTTTTTGCAGTTAAAATTGGGGCCCACCCAATATCTCCTGATTCAGAATCCTGGGGAGGTAGTGGAGCCCAGAATTTGCTTGTATTGGTAATTGGGATGCCAGTGTTCATGGACCACATCTTGGGAAGCACTGACCTTCAAAATTAAGTCCCAAATCGTTGGCCTTGTGTTTCGGGTTGAACATGTTTTATGGAGACCGCAGGACGCACCTGTGTTTTGCTCTTTCTGTGTGGTTCACGCGACTGGACCTGTGGCCCTTCACCATTGGCCCTCATCTGCAGCTCTCGCCACCACAAACCAGGGCCTGTGTCACAGGAAGGAGTTCCAGAGTCCCCCAAAAGCCATTTCCTGCCATGCTGCTTCATGCAAACTTCCCCTCAGTCAGAATTCTTCTTTGCCATTCTCTAGACCTCTCATATTTCTGTACATCACTTGGGAGCTGGTTAAAATAGTACCCCACTCCTTGACTGTCCATGGTGGAGTTGGTGTTTCTCTCTGGGCTTCTCATGGCCCCCTCTTTTACCTCTGTTTTAGCACTCGTCACATTTGACACGTCTGTAACCCTTAGCAGGTGGGGAGATGCTTGAGGCAGGGACCCGGCCTGTTCACCTGTGGCCTCTCATACTGCTGCAGGCGCACGATGCTTGCAGGTCAGATGAGTGCGTGGGAGCGTGTGAATGAATGAAGCGTTTCCTGACTCCTCCAGCGCTTGGTGGTTGCTTCTGCTTCTCTGCTCTCGCCAGCACTCCTGTCTTCCCTGTCTCTCTGGCGCTCCCTGCCCTGACTGCTGCTTAGAGTTTTATGTTGGAATGGTGGGCCTCCGTAGAAGGACGGAAGAGCCTCAGGTTCAGCTCTGGCACCTTGCCTTATTTTGGTACCCGCTTGGAGCACCCATCACCATCCTAGGCACAGAGATGAGCCGGACAAAGATTCTGGTTATTGATTTGTTGCTGGCCACAGTGTAAGCAACTGGAGAGGGAAGCTAGCTGCAATTTTATCTCCTCCTGAGCCAAGACTGAGCCCATCTTCCATCACTCAGTTGCTGTCGGCGTGTGGAGAAGCATCCCTGTGGCCACTGTCCAGGCTGACGCTCCTCTTCTTGTTCCTTCCCAGTCATGGTGTCCACTGAGATCACAGACGGCGAAGGCTCCCAGGTGCAGCCGTGCTCTGTGGCGGTGACTGTGCGGCCCCGTTTCCATGGGAATCACTGCCTAGGCGAGGACGTGTGAGTAGCGCTGTGCAGACGCCCTAGTGCAGGTCCCTGTTTCCTCGGGAGATGGCCCCTGTTTCCTCGGGAGATGGCCCTCCCCCAAGTCGGCAACGAGGTGGAGTCGATAGTGGCTCCTGGGAAGTCATCTGAGGATGAGCAAAAGAAATAGCCAGGGCCCTGCCGCTACAATCCTAAGTCAGATCTGCATGGTGTTTGTGCACGTGCTTCAGAGCCTATAAAACACCTTCTTCTGTTTTTCCGACAGTTTTATTAAGATATCACTTACATACATATAGTTCACCCATTTAAAGTGTACAATCCCTTGGATTTCAATATTCTTACAGAGCTGTTCAACCATCATCGTGACCTAGGTTTAGAACATTTTTCTCCTTCCCCAAAAACCTGGTACTCATTAACAGTCACTTCCCTTACCCCCCAACTCCCAGCCCAGACAACCACTGCTTTCTGTGGATAGATTGATCGATTCTGGACATTTTATGCAAATGAGATAACACCTTGTGTGGTCTTCTGTGACTGGCTTCGTTTACTTCGTGTAACATTTTTGAGGTTCATCGTATTGTTGCCTGTGTCATCACTGCCTGCCTTTCTATGGCTAGATAATATTTTATTATGGATATGCCACATTTTGTTTATGCATGCGTTAGTTGATGGGCATGTGGCGTGTTTTCATTTTTGGCTCTTATAAATAATGCTGTTACGAACATAGGTGTAGACGTGTTTTCCTTTTTCTTGGGTATATACCTAGGACTGGAATTGCTGGGTTGTATGGTATTTCTATATTTAGTATTTTGAGGAACTGTCAGCTCCCTTTGGGAGGTATTGCCATCTTGACAATATGAAGTCTTCCAACCCATGAACAAAGTGTTTCCATTTATTTATACTTTAATTTTTTTCAACAGTGTTTTGTATTTTTCAGTGTACAAGTGTTGAACCTTTTTTGTTAAATTTAATCATAATATAAGTATTTTATTCTTTTTAATGCTATTGTAAATGGAATTGTTTTCTTTTTTTTTGGAATTTTTTTTGCTAGTATATAAATAGACAATTGATTTTTATATATTGATCTTGTACCCTGCAACCTTGCTGAACTCATTTGTTAGTGCTAACAGGTTTTTAGTGCACTCTTTGGTGTTTTCTATGTATAAGATCATTTCTTATACATAGAAAAAAGAGTTTTACTTCTTCCTTTCAAATCTAGATACCTTTTATTTCTTTTTCTTGCTTAATTGTCCTGGCTGGAACCTCCAGTTCAATGCTAAATAGATGTGGCAAACATGGAAATCCTGGTCTTGTTTCCAGTCTAGAGAGGAAAGCAATCAATCCTTCACCATTTAGTGTAATGTTAGCTATAGGTTTTCTGTAGATATCTTTCATCTGGTTGAAGAAGTTCCCTTGTATTCCTAGTTTTTGGGGTGTTTTTATCATGAAAGGATGTTGGATTTTGTCAAATGATTTTGCTAGATCTATTGAGATGATCATGTGGGTTTTATCCTTTGGTCTATTAATTTGGTATTTTACATTGATTGATTTTTCATTCTTGAATCACTCTTGTGTTCCTGGGCTACACCCCAGTTGGTCATGGTGTATCATCTGAGAACAGTGTAAGTGTCCACTCTACTGTGGGTTTGGGTACTAACTCCCAACTCCACTTATTAGGATGCTTGTGAACCTTCAGCCAGCGATAGTCATGGTGGTGTCTTTGTCTAGCTCTGTACTGTATTCCCTCATTTACCGTGGTGTTTCCGTATCATTCTGTTTGGCTTCTCGTACCTATTTCAGTTCTGATAAAGGGGTTTTATAGAATTTTGATATTATGCCTCACTGTATGTTTTTAGAATTTCCTCTGCACAGACCAACTCTCCTTGGAGTCATTCCCTTTCTGCCCTGACCCACTCAAGAAGTTTTCTGTAACAAATACCATTCCGCTCTAGGTAGGCAGGCTGAAAAGTTTTGCAATGTGCTGGAACAGTTGTGATACCTCTTCTATTTCCTTCAGATACAATTCTAGCCTGAAAAACCTATCCACCCTCCAGCTGATGGGGAGTTACACGGAAACCAGGAACTATATCACCATGATCACCAGGGTCCTGAGTCGTTGGGCTAAGGAGGACAGAAGTCCCTCGTGTGGCCAGTGGTCACGAATACAGGATGCACTAATTTCTTCAGTATGTAGATTAGCTTTCACAGACCAGGTATGGCCCAGAGCAGGGCAAGTTCAGTATGTGTAAATCTGTATCAGTGTTGTGGGGCCTATAACTGGTTGGCTCACCAGCAGGTGGTCATGCTTATGAAACAGTCAAGCAACGAGACCAGGTGGGCCAGCCAGCGTGGCTCTGATGCATGGCTGTGGCTTCTCTTGCCTGCTCATATGCCTCACAATTGAATGCTGCTGGTTTATAAAAGAGAGACTGATATAAGCCAGTCATCACCACCGATGATTCTGTAAATAAAAATTATGTAAATCCAATCTGATTTTGTCTTGTCAGCAATGATATACCAGAGAGTTAAGTTTATGATTATGTGCACCTCTAAGGAAATGACCATATATTCACGTTACTGTCCTTGCTCACGGCATTTCTGCAACTCCTGTCTTATCATTGTCACTAGAGAATGTTCACATCTAAGAACACAGCTTATTTCATTGTAATCATGACACTTTCACTTGCACTAATTTTTTCCTCCTCCATCTTTCTCTCGTACCCTTTTCCAGAGTTTTGCTCAGTGCTGTCCTCCCAGTTCCTCTTCCCTCATGGTACTTTCCTGTGGGGTGTGGGGGGGAGCAGCAGACATCAAGAGGAGAGATGCTGCACTAGGAGGAAAAACGTGGGACCAAGGTGGTAGTCTCTCCAAAGAACATTGGCGACCCTTTGCCTCTTAGCTCAAACATGGATCTACTCTTGTTCTACATCAGCAACCTGAATTATGCAGCTTTAAACAAGATGAGCTAATGCCCTTTCCCTCTCCTTTTGTTTTTTTTTTTTTTGTTTGTCTGTTCGCTTGTTTCTCCTGGTCAGGAAGAAATGACTGATTCTGTTTATATGTTGAGGGACCTCATACGCTTCCCTAAGAAGGTGAGTGCTGTTTCTTTCCAGGTGTCTGTCTTTTCCTGCTTTTTCACATAATTATGAGGACCTTGGTCAGTTCTTTAAGAGTATACTGGGTAGAGTTATTTTTGACACTTACATTAGAAATATGACATTCCCTAAGAATTTATTTGAATAGCATCGCCCATCTCAAATCACTGGTGAAGAACTTCTGTCTTAATATAGAAATTTGAAAACCTAAAGTAGAAATGGATTAAAACAGGTGTTATCCACACTACACATACTTTTGGAAAGGGGACTGTTCTTTATTGTTGATCTACTGTATCGGGTCTTCCCATCCTCACCACTCTCTTCTTCTCAAAGCTCCAGCACCCTCTCCCCCTCAGCTGAGGTCCTCACTGCACTGCGAGTTAGCGGATAAGAGAGCCCATAGAGTCCTTGTCTACCGCCACCGTGCAAATCTAGTCACAGCCTGGCCTGTCTTCCAGGCCACCCTCTGTCACCATGGGAGAGATGTCCCCACTCCCAGCAGGGGCTCACCCTCTCTTTGTGCTCAGAATCCCATCTCGGGCCACCTCATGACCCCTCATGTCAGTCTTGGGACTGGCGCCCCCTGAAGTTGTGGAGGGCCCCCATATGGCTGCAGGTGGTGGTCCAGCATGGTGGTCCAGCCCCGCCTTTTGCCTTCTCTGGGCTTTATCACCTTTAGTTTAATGCTCTCTTTGCTGCTTTTTCCATTTCTCCCTCTCTGCTGGATGGTCCCCAACATGCTTAGAGTCTCACTTATTTAAAAAAAAAAAAAGTCCCTCTGGTGCAATTAAACTGTCTCCCAGTCGCCACCTCATTTCCATGCCCTTCCTTACAGCAGAACATGTGGAAAGTGAGTTCTGCCTTGCTGTGGTCTCTACTTGCTGTCGCGCATGCATTTTTAAGCTACCAAAATCTGGCTGCCATCTCTACCGCAACACTGAAACAGCTCTGTCCAAGTGCCTGAAAATCTCCATGCTGCCAAATCCACGCACATCCTCCTTGCTCGCAGGTCTCCCCCGTCAGGGAGGTTCTGTGGGACGCACACCTCCTTTTCGGCACAGTCGCTTTGACTCCGGCCACTGTTGGCTCCTCCCTGTCTACTTTACTTGTTCAGTGCCTCAGGGTTGTGTCCTGGGCCCGGGACACTTCTATGTCTCCACTTTCTCCCTGGGGGTCTCATCACATCTTTTTACATTAAATCCAAGTGGTGGTGACCCTGCATTTTATATCTCCAACCCAACCCCCTCCCAAAAGCTCCAGACTCATCCATGTAACTGCCCTATCATTTCCACATGACCATCGCCGTGCACCTCACACCCAATGTGGGCGATGGAGCTCCTTCCTCTGCTCCTCACGCCATCTCCTTCCTGCCCCGTTCCTCCTGCTTTCTCCCTTCTGGAGAGAGCAACACCTTCCACCCCAAATCTCAAGTCAAGAACCCAGGTGCCGTCAAAGATTCCCCCCTTTTCCTTGTCCGTCACTTGTAGTTAAGTCCTGTAGTTCTTCCTCAGAAACATACCTAGAATCTTCCTACCTTTCTTGTTGCCACTGGTCCCCACTCTAATCTAAGCAGACATCATTTCTCACATTGGCTGGCAGTCTCTTACTGTTCTCTCTGCCTCCTCTCTTGTCATTTTACAACACGCTCCACACACAGCAACCTAAGGATCATTTTAAATGCCTGAATCAGTTAATGCTGCTCCCCTGCTTTAAAGCTCTGTGTGGCTCTCATTGCTATGTAATCAGATCCAGACACCTCGCCTTCTTACCTTTCCCTTCTCCTCTCTTGGTTTTTCTCCCCCCTGACCACTCCTCAGGTGGCCGGCCCAGGGCCCATGCAGCCCTGAGCAGCAGAGAGCTTTCATTAGACTCTCAGCTCACAGCTCACTTCCTTGGAGAGGTCCTCCTGACCCTCAATCTGAAGTCACCCTCCCCTCCTATTGCCTGGTTCACCTCTCTCAGGACTTGCACAGTCAGCAGCTGTCTTACTCATTTCTCTGTTGCCTCACTGCCCTCACTGGAGCATCAACCCCATGATGGCAGAACCTTTCATTCCTGCTCACCATGTAACCGCAGCTGTGACACTAGCACAGCTCAGAAGACAGATGGGGAATGAACGAATGATGACATGGATGACCCTGTCACTTCTTCCCATCCCTCCTGCCTGAGTCACATCGTCATCATCTTGAATTGCTCCACTGCAGTGACCACCAATCTGGACAGGAAGGCTGGCCTTCTCATGGCAACACATCCCCCTTCCTGTGCTTCATAAAAACACCTCTGCTCATGTTACTTGTTTACCTTAAAACATTGATAGCTTCTCAGTACTCTGAGGATAAAATCCAGTTCTCCCACGTCTCACACCAGGACTTTACCTGGCTGCAGCTTACTCTCTGCCCTTCCCCACATCTCCCCACGTAGCCGCCTTCCACGTTCCAGTCACTGAATGTTCCTTATGTCCCTGAAATCATGTGTTTTCTCTTAACCTAGAATAATTCTACTCCCCTTCCCCTGGGAAAACAGTATTTTCTCGTCTAGGCTAGATTCAAATGCCACCTTCTCCATGAAATCTTCAGAGTCCTGAAAGCAGAATTTGTTTTATTCTGGACAAATTTGTACATGACTTTGTTATAGCACGTTAACACCTTTCATAGGTAATTATTTCCTGCACGTCTGTCTTCCAGCTCTAAACTACTTAGCCTGCTAAGGTCACAAACTGTATTAGATAAAGAAATGTTAGCGGGTGTAACAGGTAAGCCCTGAAATCTCAGAGACATAACCCAACAGCAGTCTGTTCCGTGTCTACACACATTCCACGGCGGGTGTTCAGCAGGTGGTCTTCCCGTGGTGATCCAGGGACGCCAGCTCCTTTCATCTCGAGCCTCCAGCGCCTCCGCTCTGGCTTCCTATGTTGGGCAGTAGGGCGTGGAGAAGGTGCACCACTTGATGATGTTGCACTCTCCTCACATCCCCTGGGGACAACCCGTCTCAAGGCTGCACCTGAACTCCAGGGGCCTGGAAAATGAAATTACTTCTCAGCAATGACCTTGCATGAGGATCAGGAGGATGAATCTGGTGGAAGCCAAACATCTCTGTACAGGCCCCTCTCTTGTGCATCTGTGCATCCGGGAGCTGGCCTCAGTTCTTAGCTCAGAGTGGTGGATAAACTGGTCATGATTGTCATTCCCAAAGTAACCATTTCTGATATTTTTGGTTAAAAAAATGCGCAGTGTAAAAACCACACTAGGGTTTCTTTAACATGTGGTTTTAAAGAACATGATGTATTCTTTATTACACTTGTTTTAGTTTAGATAAAAGATTATTCTTTCTATTTTGAGTCTATTTTGATGATGCTGTCTCATATTTGAGGCCTTTAATAGTAGTTTCAGTGTATTTCCAGACTAGTTTAATTTTATTGTTGGTGAAAGAGTTTGATTTTAGGAGGTATTTCTAAGCCACATTTTGGTTAAACAAGCATGACCATCAGAAAGTAGAATCTCAATTTCAGTTCATTGGATACACGTTTATTTAGCAATTGCTAGGAGCAGCTGAGGCACAAAGAGGGAAAAGACTTAGTCCTGTCTTTCTGGCACTGATGGATGAAGCTAGATGTGGAAACAGATATACTTCAATATATGGTCCAAGTCCTATAATTAGGAGAATGACAAAATTCTGCAGAAACACAGGCAATGGTGCAGTGCACTTTGTCAGGCGGACATTTGAAATTTGTTTTAAAAGATAAGTAGGAAATAATCATCATTATTTTTGTTAGGTATGGTAATGGCATCGTGGGCATGTGTTTAGGAAGAGTTCTTGTCTCTTAGCAGTATATACTAAAGTGTTCATCGATAGAAATACCTGAGACTTGCTTTGAAATATGTTTTTAGAAGTTGAGTGGGTGATAGAAGAAAAAGTATTGTCAATGAAGAATAGTTGTTACAGCTAGGCGATGGGCATATTATACTACTGCACTGTTCTCTCTACTTGTGTGTATGTTTGAAAATGTCCATATTAATTAGAAAAAGAGAGAGAGGAGTAGGATTTTGCTAGTAAGGACAGGGCTGAAGGCATTGCAGGGAGGGGATTTGTATGGCATCAGGGAAAGTCCTGGATTATTTGGGAGCAGGATGAGGGTCTGTGGCTCAAGAACAGCATGTCCACAGGGGATGGGAAGAGAGAAGGCTGTGGAAGGAGATGGGACCAGTTTGTGAAGGGATTTGTGATGTGGTTGTTGGGGGTCAGCCCAAGTAGCTTCTTAGCATAAAGGCTGAGACCATTTATTTTTCTTTGGTCATTTTATGGGTCAGAAAACAATATCAAAGAGTGAATTTTTACTTCTGAAGTTGGCCAGTAATCAGCTAGACACCAAACCTAGATTTGCATCTAGGTCTCAAGTTCAGTCATTCTAATTTCCAGCAATAAGGAAAGAGGCAAGATTATATGCATCGTGTGCGATGAAGCATTTCATTGACATCTTTTCTTTTCACATAGTTAAGCTTCACAAGTGCCGTTCTCATCCTCAAGTACACTCAGACTCTCCTCACTCAAAGCCAGTTCTCGGGGAGGTTCGTGGTGGACAAAGAGCGGATGCTCGAGCTCATCCTTCTCGTCTCCGGGGTCTTAGAAGTCTCTGACCATGAGAAAACGAGGAAGGTGGACTACCTACGAGAAGAAGGAATTAAGGTCATCTCAGACTTATTGTTAGTAAGTCATACTTTTTCTTCATTAGTGACAGTACAACTGTTTCCCTCTCCCAGGATGTTAACCTGTATTTGCAGTTGCTTCTAGAAATCAAAAGTATAATTGGTTCTTGAAGTGCTATGTTTATTGTTGTGGGTGGTAGCTTGGTATTTGGAAATTTTTCAGTGTTTCGTGGGAATATTGTCATGTTTCAATGACACTTTGCTTCTGTTCCATCCTTTCGTATTTTGGTAGATTTTCATTTGGGATATTTGGGAAGGTGTCTGACTTAGAATCATTATTTCTCAGGATGCCTTCTGCTCTTTGAGGGATGAAGTGAAGTAATGCAAATGATTTCTAACATGCGTTAACTTAAAAAGCAACCCTGCTGATATATAGCTGCTAAAAAAGCCCACCAAAGTTTATTTCATTTATTTCTGCCACAGTAACTGTGGGAAGTTGTCTCAGGGATTACTGGGTTGTTTTTGCCATAGGAAACAGCCAGTGCTTTCAGGAAACAGAAGTTAGTAGGCGGCTTTTGTCTCTCTCCTCTTCTCCATTTATCATCCCTCCTGCCCAGAACTGCTGGTTTATTTAACTGGTAGTTAGTGTAATGTTTGGGAAATTAGAAAACGTATAAATGCTGTATCTGCATCTAGTAATAGTGACCAGGATTAGCAATTAATACATTTGGAAGGATTTGCTGCATGCCCAGCATCCGCCCTGCCCTAAGCCCTAAAGCACTGCGCTCAAGGTTATGGTCAAGTCCACATGGTATTAAAATAATCATGGTATTCAAACTCCCTTTGGGGGGCTAAGAAACCCCAAGGACCATAGGAATTGTTACAAAATGAATAAAATGTTGAAACAAAAGGAGACAGTTTTCGTTTGACTGTTATTTGGCATTCACATGCTTGTACCAAAATCTTTGCTCAGGCAATGAATCCAAATGACCTTGAGAAGAAGGGCTACCTTTTCAATTATTTTCTGCGTCTCCCTAGTTCTGGACTCAAGACAGCTTCCTCAGGTGCACTGTAAACGGTGGACTCTTCGTCCTCTGTTTCAGGGCTGCCTTTCTTCAAACAGCGAGCGTCAGCTCCACGTTAGCACCGGGCAGATGGAGATCCGCACGCTTCTTCATCACGACCTGCGGAGCTCCGTACAGAGCCTGGGCCCTGTCCAGGTGCATTTACCTGGAGAGCTGGCTGGGCAGAGTCCCGCTGGGACTGGAACGCAGAGCCCATGCTATATTAGCCAGCTCATGCTCTTCAAGAAGAATCCGTATCCAGGGGGACGAGCTCCTAGTCAGGTACAGCATGGCAGATGACCAGTCCCTTCCAGTGACCGCCTCACACTCGCACTAATTGTGCTTTGATGAGGAAGAGAGCGACCAGGGTGGCACATTTGCACCTGTTGCTCAGTTGCCAGAGAAGAACCACTTAGAATCTGCTGCTGTTTCTGCATGTCTTGGAAGATCACAGTTTCTCCAGAAAATCTTAGCCAAACTAGGTATCCCTGGTGTCTGGGTAACGGGGCCCATGCAGTAGTTCCTGTGGGGCCGTTGGAACCCATTGTCGGAGAGTCAGAGGCCTGAGTGGGGTGGAGTATGGGGCACAGCACCTGTGCCAGGCCTTGTGGTCAGTAACCTCCTGGTTTACTTGTTTCTGAAATCAAATGAAGAATTTAACTCGAGTGAAACTTGAGAAGGGGCTACTGTGGACCTACTGGAACTTACCTCTTTTCCTCCAAGCTCACCTGACAGGTACATCTAGGGTGAACCAGACAGGGTGGCCGCTGGGTCCCTGGGATGTTGGGCAGAAGAGAGGCCCAGAGTCAGAGGGGATGTGAAAATGGGGAAGTTGGGAAGATGGTGCCAGCTCTTGGTGATCCTGTAAACATTGGCTTCCCTTCTACATGTGTAAACCACGTGAATGATCCGGGGACTGCCAGGAGCTGGGAGGGCAGGGAGCCAGCATTGCTGGTATCTTCTGCACCCCTAAGTGTGCTCCAGTACCTGGCTCACGGGGGCATCTGATGAATGCCCAATGGATGAGTGTACAAATTCATGATGTACATCTTATTTTGGTCAAAAATGCTCATCTTATAAAGTATTTGCTTTTTTTTTTTAGGGAACTAGAAATGGCCAATCGCTTATGAAAATAATCCCAACTAATAAGAAATACGGAAATAGAAATTAAAATGATTTTTTTAACTTACAAAGTGCAGTTCTTTAAAAAGACTTCCCTCTGTGGAGGTGTGTGAGTGGGAGAGCCAGGGTGTCCATGGTGTGGCCTTTCTGAGAAGCACTTCGTCACAGGCACCAGGAGCTTCAAAAACCCGGACCCTGTCGTTATATTTGTAGGAATCTATACCAAGGAAATGAGACAATATTTATTGAAAGGAAGATGTTTTATTTATTTATTCAAAGCAACATTATTTATGATAATCTGAATAGAAATGTACCTAAATGTTCAACAGGGGGACATAGTTCGCTGGTTATTTAAATGAATTATGATAATCCATATACAGCCAATTAAAATCATGTCAATCAGGGAATTTTAGTGGCATTGGAAGATTTTGTGCAAAAAACGTAGAACATTGAATTGTCTGCCTAGTATGTACTCAGTGCATAGAAAAAATTTCGAATGTGACATCCCCAAATAGGATTCCTCTGAGTGATGGTATTACAGGCAAGCTACACTTCACTCTCCTACACACCTTCCTGGTTATCTCCAGTCAGCAGATACTTCTTTTTGTATGAGCTTTTAAGGTAAAAACTAAAAATACTTTTTAAAACTTTAAAAATTATTAGTTTTAATAAGAGGAATACAAATAAAGCATTATATTCTCCCCAAATCCTGCCATTCTGACAGGTAAAATTAGTTGTATTTTTCTATGTTACCCCCAACATCAGGACCATAATCTTCTGTTACTGCGATAGCAGCATCACTAGACTTTGCTCTCCTGCTTCTCTCACTGAAGTGGACAGTTGGCTGTCACCTGCTCTGAGGCGCTCTTTGTCTCCCCAGGTGGGCAGAGTGCTCGCCCTCTCCCTGTACAGCTGCTCCAGCAGAACACCCATCAGCGGACATCGGCTGAGGAAACCCGTGACTGTGGAGTTCGGGGAGGAAGATGGCCTGGTAGGGAGAGCCTTTCCCCGTCACCTCTGCTTCATTTTGGCTGCACTGGCTGATTTTTAATGCACTTACTTTTCCAAAGGCAAATTTTGTTTAACTTGTTTTTCGTTTGATGACAGGATAATAGGAGAAATAAAACAACATTTGTGTTGCTTCGGGATAAAGTGAATTTTCATCAATTCATTGGGCTTTCTGAAAACCCCCAGGAATCTCTACAGATAAGGATAGAATTTTCTAAGCCCCTTACAAGAGCTTTCCCGGTCATGTTGCTGGTAAGGTGTGTTGTGAGATGTTGGCTACCGTGGTAACCAGGTTGGAGCAAGAGACATCGCCCTTGAGAATGTCTTGTGAAAAGATCAGTGAATGAAACTGCATTTTTAAAGCAGTCGTGAGGCTAATTGTCCAAAGAAATTCTGTTATATAGTCTACTGTTCAGGGAATAAGCTTCCCTACTTTGTTTTTTTTATTTTATTTTATTTTTTGAGATTGGATTCCTGACTGCTAAGTTTATTGGAGTGAGAAATAACTGAATTGTCAGTGATAATACAGATGGCCTCATTTAGGAATCTAATTCTCCCTAACAGTGTAGACCTGGGCCAGAATTCTCTTATTTTTTATTTCTTTTTTTTTCCAAAAGAAAAACGTATGTTCAAACTGGTGTTTCTGAGGAGATTTGATCAATGAGTCATCTTTCTCAGTGATGTTGAGTCTGTGGGACTCAGACCCCATTTTATGACTGAATTACGTGGGAACACTCAAACGTTGAAAGGTTCTTTGCAATCATGCACTAACAACACGAATGGAAACCAGCAGTTTTTAGAGTTTGTGGTAGATCTGGATGGGCAAAGGCTTCTATTGGAGAATATGTTCTCTTCTCTGAGTTCCCACGTATTTCAGCCATCTGAGCAAGATTTCAGCTGTTCCCCTGCTCCTGTTTAGGTGGGCACGTCAGCCCGGGGTATCTTGTGCAGGGAGATGTCCACACAGTGCTCAGCACGGGGTCAGTGTACTTGTTGGCTCGACTCTCTTTCTGCCCAATGAGCTAAGCTATGAAGTGTCTGAAACATGACTTTTTGCTTAAAGAGTTTGGATTTCAACTTAATTCTTGAAGACCCACACAAAAAAGGTGAATTGGTTCTGACCAGTTTCTCAGTCTAATGACCCTGTGCTTGCTCTCCGTCATCTGTCAGTTTCTGACTGCTAACACTTGCTGTCAAGAGGTCACGTCTGGGCTGCAGGGCCTGCGCTGGAGCCTGTGCTGTTTATTCCTACAAGCTGGGCTGGTTACTGTTCTTGTTTTGTACTGAAGTTTTTATTTTTTAATGAAATGAGGAATGAAACTGTCATGTAGTTCTTATTGAAAGACCCAGCGGTGCTGTGGAATAAGCATTTTGTCCCAGTCTGCCTCCTTGTAGTGAAAAGGGTGTTTGCACAAAATTGTCTGACTAAAGTCTTTGAGAGGAAAAAATAACACAAAAGTAGACATCATTGCTTTGTTTTTGTCTCCTAGGTTCTCTGAGAAACCTACTCCATCTGATTTTCTTGTGAAACAGATCTACTTCTGGGATGAGCAAATTGTGCACATTTACATACCTGCTGTGTCCCTGAGAGGTCGGTGGACAAGCTCTCCTGTGACTCTCAGTTGTGTGTAGATGATGAAAACAGCTGCTGTAAGATATGGACGCAGAGCAGGGCTCTCATTTATTCATGAGGAAAACGTCAGGCTGTTGCAGAGGAGGAGCGCCTCTGAACGCAGTCTGAGCCCAATTCTGCAGCTGTGTAGGACAAGCCTCCTGTCACCAGGCCCTCCCCCTGTCCCCACCAGCGAGTCCCCTCCTCCTTCTCACCAACCTGTGTTTGTGCCCCTGTCATCTGTGCCTGCGGTGCCCTCCCCTTCCTCACCTCCAACTGGCCTCTGCTGGTCCTCAGAACTCTTCTTCCGCCTCTCTTGGCGGGCTGCCCTTCACCCCTGGGAATATCTGCCTGCACTGCTCCTGTGGCACCTTGAGTTTGCCTGTCCTGTTTGCTGCTCTGCCTCCCCCAGTGTCAGGGACTGTGACTTCTGAGGCTGTCCCTCAGGACCCGTCTGTCAGTCCTCACCAGTGGCGGGGCAGAGCACGGCCCCCCTCTCTGAGGTGGTGGTGTGTGTAGGCTCTGGGCTCACCCCCTAACAGGCAGCCCCTGGTTTCTTAGGCTCCTGAGTCTCTGTCCTCCCCTGAAAGGCAGGAGGCTGAGGCTTAGAGTGCTGAAGTGAATCCAGGCTGGACTATAAACACGCTTCACACTGGTCCTGCATGCTGGGGCCTTAGCCTGGAGGCTTCACAGTCAGGTGTGTGGGCCGTCCCCTCCTCTCCATGATCCACATTTTTATGGGATACGGTTATTTTCCTCTGAGAACCAGTCATTTCATAGCTATTTGTGTCTTTTCAAAATGGACCAAAATATGTTATTAGTCAAATTCAAATTCTCAATGGCAATTTAAAAAATTTTGCATTTGATGTGTTTTCTTTTCCACAATTTTTTATTGTGAGAAATCTCAAACTGACAGAAAAGTAGGAAAAAAATGAATAACAAACACTTGCATCTGGTTCATCTAGAGTCAGCATTTGTTGGCATTTTGCCATGTCTGCTGTATCTGCATGTGTGTGTGAGTGTGTGTGTGGGGGGGAGCTTCTTGGGGGGTAGCCATTGGAGAGAAAGTTTCAGACACCATGACCCTCCAGCCTTCAACTCGCATCCCATAAAAACAAGGACATTTTCCTGTGTAACTCAGCTCCGCTGCTGGGCCTAAAAAGAATCAGTGTCAATTCAAGCCCATTGTCTGCTCTGCAGTCCACAGTGAAGTTTTTGCAGTTGTCCCCCAATGCCTTCTATAGCTCTTTATATTTGTTATTCAGAATTAAGTCAAAGTTCATGAATGCACTTCATTGCCATGTGTTTGTGGTCCCTTTAAAAGCTGGAATACCCTCCCCCATTTTTTGCCTTTTCTTCATGACATTGACTTTTTTATGAGTCCAAGTCAGTTATCTTTTTGAATGTCTCACATTCTGGACTCCTGCTTGTCTCTTCATGATTAGATTCAGTTCACAGGTGTTTGGTGGATACTCCATAGGCAATGCCAAGTCTGGTACTTGGGTTAAGGAGCTCACCTCCCATCTCTCCATTGTAACAGAACGTTTTCCCTTTGTGATTAATTGGGTGGTACTTGTGTGACCATCTGAGTACCTCCTTCCCCTGGAACCTTTCACCCCGTGGTTTGGACCTCCATTCATGACACAACACAGGCTGCAATGGTGATTTTCTGATTTCATCACTAATTAGCTGGCATTGTACAGTAAAGAACAGCTTCTGTCTCACTCTCTCATTCTTGCTTTCTGTATGATGAATGCATAGATCTAAAAAAAAATCAGTGTATTTAGTTCATTTCCATCATTTTACTTTTTGATGCTCAAATTGTTCCAGGGGAGCTCCCTCAAGATGCTTCCTGAGTATTTTTGACATGACGTCGGGAGTTTTCAAGTGCTTCCTTGCCTTCGGGGACACCAGGGCACCCCAGGCATATCTGCACCTTGCCTGCCCTTCCTGTAACCAGGCATTTCTTCATGAGCCTCAGTTCCTTGATGGGGAATGACATTTAGGATTTAAGATATATGCACCAAGTGTACTCATTGCTACTGGGTTGTCATTGTTTCTAAGCCAGTTCAGTGGATAGATTCAATAACTGCGTGTGCGTGCATGTGTTTATTTTTTGGAGCATAAGCCTACATTGGCACACGCACGTTCTTATTGCCCCTGTTCTTTTCATTCTTTTGCATTGTGCTTTTCTTACTTCAATTATACATCTGGAAATCACTCCATACGTATGCATTCACAATCCCTCCGTTATTTCTTACTGCTGAAGGCTTTCCACTGCACAGCTGCACCACGGTTTACTCAACCGTGTGTGCGTGGGACGCTTGTACTATAATGTACTCGGGGCGGGGGGAGTGTATCTTCAAGGTACATTCTCAGATATGGTACTTCTTGGTCAAAAGGGAAATGCGTGTGCAGTTTGGGTAAGCATGGCCAAATTCCCCTCCGGCTATGTGGGAGAGGGCCTGTTTCCCCACCCCTTGGCCAACCAAGTATATTTTCAAGCTTTGGAGTTTTGCCAGTTGGATAATTGAGACTTGGTAGTTTTAATATGCATTTTATATTATGAATTGAGCATTTTTCATGTTTAAAGGCCCTTATCTACTTTTTTTGGTGAACTGTTCATATATACCCATTTTTTATTAAGTTTTTTCTTGATTCCTGTATTTTTTTGACTTTGTTTTTATTGGCCTTTTTTTGCCTTTCAAAAGTTTTTATTTAATAGCAAGATGGATGAACATTTTTTTTTATTACTATTAGATTTTGAGTCATAGTTAGAATTTATTCCTTTTACCCAGGTTATAAAAGAAGTCCGTCATGTTTATGTTTTCTTTTAGTACTTGTACAGTTTCACTCTTTTACATTTAGATCTCTGATTGATTGGTGTTTACCTCTGTATGTGGCATGAGATATGGATCTAATATCATATTTTTACAAATGGCTGATATCTAGTTGTCCCAACATCACTTATTAAAAAGTTTTAGGGACAAATTTTAAATAGATGGAATGTTAAATATTTGTGCTTCTAAATATAAAAGTTATACAAAAATGATAGGCTAAAACCACATGGTCGTTGTGTGTCCTCACCAGGGTGGCTGCAGACTTAGGACATGCTAATATTTGGCAGGCTGGCTGATGGAGCTGAGGAGAAGCAGGGAAGGGGTCTAGGTGGGATGGGAGCTGTAGAAGTTGACGCCACTCTCTTGCACCCCCAGGGCAGTGGGGTAACCCATGCAGGGTGTGTAGAGGAACTCGGAACATGAGGAAGCGTTTACGACACGCTACCATCCTCAGATGAAAACCAGCAGCCGCGAGCTTTGACTGGGTGTATTTAGCAGATGGTTTGAGTGCTCCAGGGAGAGGGAGCTGCCAGCACTTGCCCTGTTCTCTCAGTCCCCGCCCAGCTTCCACGCCTAGTCCCCACTGTCGGCTGCACCATCTGCGTTAGGAATGGGTTATGCCATTTTGCAAGCTTCAGGTTGTATTTCTTAATTTATTTTTTCTCTTTTTAGACACCAACTTGGGGTATTTATCCTTATTAGATGCTGACTATGACAGAAAACCTCCGAACAAGTATTTGGCTAAGTCAGTAAACTATGCCGTGCATTTCCAGTGGATCCAATGCCTGTTTTGGGACACGAGAGAGTGGAAATCTGAAAGTTTCTCTCCACAACCAGGAACTTCTCCAGAAAAAGTGAACTGCAGGTAAAGACACACTATTGAGAAAGGATTTGAAATGTTTAGTAAGCAACTGCCTTTCCTCCTGCGTTTGGCACAGCGCCTGGAGCCTTCCCTGGCTTTGTCCCGCTGTAAGGACCAGAGCAATCTTGTTGGTCGACTCCGTCGGCGTGTGCTTCTTACACCTTCCTGTCAGCCTGGTCCCCGCGGTGTTGCACCTCCAGAAGAGCAGGGTCTAGTTTCCAGTTCTCTTTGCACCCGCCCCTCCCCAAGGTGACTGACATGGATTAGGTGATCAGCAAATGTTGCTGGAGAAATGGTCGATTGGTGAATAGTAGTACCCAGTGTTGATCATTCTGTTCTCTTGGATGTCCGGATAGTCTCCGGGGTGCCTCCGTAGTCAGGCAGCGGGGCCTCTCCTCTCACCACTCCCCACCCTGTGACTTGTGCACCCACCCCCTTGTCCGCACAAGAGCCCCCTCCCAGCGTGGTTGTGAAGTGAACTTGACGATGCAGGGAAGGTCTCCACATGGACTATAGGCAGCCTCCCAGGAATTTGGGGTATATCAATCATGTCACTAAACCAGAAATTCTTTATCATCTAGTTGCAGAACTGACAATTCTGTCAGAGGCTGTTGCTGTTGTTGCCTTTTCATTAGAATAGAGAATAAACAGTTATTGGACACATTTAGAAATAGAAATATCATTTGCATGTTAAGAAAATTAGTCATAAAAACTATATTTTGTGGCTGCCTGTTAGGAGGCAACTATGTCCAGATCCTACTACATGTCCATGTGATTCATCAGCTATTGATTGCTTTTCTTATGTCACAGTCTTTTTACTTTATATGATGCCATTGCTAGGAACACATGGAACTTACTAGTAATGGCTCAATATTTCACTTTGATATTAAATTATTCATTAATGCATTAACACATTCATCCATTCTCCATTACATCCTACTCTCTGCTAGGGGTAAAAATGAATGCAACGTGGGACCTGCTCAGAAGATAATGAGGGGGAGAGAGATTTTATTGAAAAAAAAAAAGGGCAGTCTCGATGGTGGTTGTGGCGCGGGAGTCCCAGTGATGGGATACCTATAAAGCTGGGACTGGCGCTCAGGCATAGGCGCACAGGGTCTCACTGGCCTCCCAGTCGTCGGTCCACCGCTGGGCCGTGAGGTGAACCTGACAGTCTCTGGGCTTGAGCTGACTGTGGAGGGCTGTAATCATCCAGATATCTGCAATAGGCTTCCAGGTCCACAGCAAGGACAGCTCATGTCCCAGGGCGGACTCAGGGGCTGTGTGCTCAAGACTTGGACATGAAGGTGTCTGGTGTATCTGCAGAACAGAGACCCTCCTTCTAGCTGAGGTTTTAGCTGAATTGTTTAAACTGGATCTAAATCGTTAAGTTAGAGTTGTTGGAGATTGTCATCCCTTACCTCCTTCCTTTAACCTGTGTACCCTCACACGGTAAACACTGCCCTCACCACACACTTGGTGTCCTAACCCGCCTCTCCCTCCTAGCTACCACCGCCTCGCAGCATTCTCTGTTGCAAGAAGAAGGCTGAATGCCAGTTTTGAAACAAGTGACATTTCCAAGTTACAGGGGTGAGTTCTGTTTTCTAAATCAAGATAAAATTTTATTTGCACTAGTGCCCAACGCAGGATGCCCGTGTGCAATTCAGCAGATGCTTGAAATTCATGTTACTTAGTACCATTTTGCTTTTTGGCATATGCATATTAGTAGGTAATAGTTATTAAATATTATATAGTTACCAATGCCTATACTCGCATTCGCTGACAGGAGACATCAGCATGGGAAAGTCAGCATACTTTTCTTACGTTTAGGTTTAGCTTGAGTTCACTGTAACTCTGTTCGGTTGTGACTGGTTGGGTTAGTGACGATCCTGCTGGATTTGCCTGTTCTGCTTTATGCTTGTTGTCGTGGTCTAACTATTAATAGCTCCCTCTTCCTTTTGAAAAGTGTTCCATTTTAGATAATAAATTTAAAATTCACCCTATTTTTATAGCCGTTGTTTTGTAGAGCAAATACATTTAGGTTCTGAAATATAGGTAAGTGGAGGATAAACTCATGTGGGCAGGAACCTTCTCTGTCTCATTCATCAAAGTTGCCCCATGCTGAGGACCTGCCCATAGCAGGTACTGAGTAAGTATTTGCTGAATGAATATTGATGGCAGAGTCTGCATCTTCTGGTGAGTGTTGGTTGTTACATTTTTCTCCCTTATATTTATGTAATAGGGAACTCTGCTTACTTTATTATGTAATCAGTCATCAAAGAGTTGATTACTTTGTAGACTGGTAAGTGAATCAGATAGTTAGTTAGTTAGACATTAATTGCTGATGCTACAGATGCTGGTCTCAGCAAAGGTCACCAGGAGTCCAGTGATCAGGACTCAGAGGACAGCAGGCTCAACTGTGGTTTCTGACAGCACTGGAGGCGGGGGTCCATCTGGGGAGGGGCAGCCCTGGGGGATGTTTAGAGGAAAACCACACCTGAGGTCATGCAGGGGCAGCATCATTCTGGGAGATCTGGCAGAATCCAGGAGGTTCCAGGGCCTAGTCCAGGTGTAGAAAGGACAGGCTGGAAGCAGGGAAGCTCTGGGCTCCCTGCCAAGCTGATAGCATGGGCTCAGAACAAGGCTCCGTCCTGGTAGGGAGGAGGATGCCCAGCAGAGAAACCAGGAGCAGAACCCAAGTCTCAGAGGGGGTCAAAGTGTAGTGGTGGGGGCAGGACGACAGCATCTGCACCAGCACAGGCCTCGTGCTGACCCTGTGAAACCTCGTCAGGGGTCTGTAAGACTCAAGTCCAAGCAGAACACCTTCTCAGGTTAGGGTCCCGGCGCGAGTGACTTGATACGAACTCCACTCCGTGGGTCTGTGGGGTTCAGTGATCTCCCCCAGGGAGTGCAAGGTGCAGGTGGGGAGCAGCAGCCCCCGCCACAGGGGCAGGTGGGAGAGGCAGGTACAGCAGCATCTCGTCTTTGTTCTACCGGAGGGAGGGGGCATTCATTACACCTACGTGTTGAAGATTTTATGTGTGATTATTACTTCATAATAGCAGCAAATGGGCATTCTTACCTGTATCTCATGAAGAAAGTTCCTCAGAGAGGATGTGAGTCTACAGCACGGTGCAGCTTTCAGACGCAGAAGCTAGTCCGTCACAAGGCTTCTTTGTCCAGAGTCCACTCGCATGGGGTACTGGTTGCTAGAGCCCTGGGCAGCTCTGTGCCTTTCGGAGCCTCTTGATTCAGCCTCAAGCAGCTCATCTCCTAAGGGGCTCCGGCCAATCCTAATGCCTAGAGACGGCAGAGGCCACTCCCCCCTCCACCTTTCCCTTCTCGGCCACTTTCCCAAATAAAAAGCTACTTTCTTCTCCCAGTTACAAAACAAATGTTTAAAAACAAATCAGTGAAGACCAGCAGGGGCATGTGTGTATGTGTGTGCATGCGTGTGTGTGCATATATGCATATGTGTGTGTTACTCTTATATGTGTATGTTTGTGTGTGTGTTAACCACTGTGTGGGGGCATTGGTCAATCTTTGCCTAAATGTTTATTTCGCTGAGTAACTCACTGTTCATCTCTCTCCTTTTATTTACAGACATCCGGAAAACCTGCTTCCTGGTATTTTTATTGTAGTTTTTACTATTCTTTATGTACTTTTGGTTACTAAAAGCAGACGTGTAGATCATCATGAAAAAAAGAAAACTGGTTACATTTTTCTGCAAGAAAACGCTCCACCTGACCACCAGCTGTATGCGGTTGTGGTGGACACAGGCTTCCGGGCTCCAGCCCGCTTTAGCGCAAAGGTAATCTGGACATCTTGGGGACGTACCTCGTGGTGTGGAAGAGTGCGGATGGGCGTGAGTGACGGCACCAGAAACACACGGTTTGGTGATTTGGCCTTCCTGTCTATCACCTGTCACCTGTCACAGCTGGCCCATCTTATTCTGGGTGGGCTCGTCTGCCCTTCCACTGGGCTCTCCCTGGCCCTGCGCATCTGTACGAGCAGGAAGCAGGAGCCTCCCCTTCCGCAGGGCTGCCCTCAGCCCCTTCTCCCCTTCCCACCTTCTCTGAGGAAAGCAGCCCAGAGCGACTTGTGTTTCTGAGTGGCACATCGAGACTCTGAGAAGCAAGTTGTGCTCTTCTAGTGAGTGTCAATCTGTTACCACTACCCAGAGGGAGCTCGCAGGAGAAAGGGGGGGGATCTCAAGACTGACTTTGGGGACTGGCAGGGATGAGGCTGGCTGGGAGCTTGGGGTAAAGACAGAGTTGCAATGGAGGACGGCGAGGAGGGGATGGATGAGTGAGGTGAAGTGGCAGGACGGGGAGGGAGACGGTCTGTCCACAGCCCACGTGAAGGGCGTGTGTGCAGGCGGAACTGTAGAGGTGAGGCTGCAGGCAGAACCCAGAGCCCGTCCAGCCGGCTGTGTGAGTGCAGGGGTGCACATACACGGATCCCACGGGAGGGTAGGAATCCCTCCATGTTTGGAAATCATCCCCCACTTCTCAAGGGAGCCGGGCTGCCTCTAGGGTTAAGGAACCTATAGTGAGAGAACAAGCATGGCTGGGTGTGCAGAAGGGGGTAGGTGAGGGAGAGGGAGAGGAGGGCGAGGGAGAGCGGTGCAGCAGTAGGAAGGGATGAGGGGCACGACAGCTTATGTGATCCTTGCTCACTATCAGCCCGTAGTCTGTCAGCTATATATTTATATAGTCTACTAGATATACAAACACACTCACAGGCAATGCATAGCACGTAGAAGGGGATGACCTTAACCTTAACCTAACAGAGGATATCTCCCTACAGTGGACACTACATTAAATGGTGAAACTTGAGACAATGTCTAAGGGATGTCTACTACCGTCACTACCACTGGAAACTCCAGTGAAGACAATAAAACAAGAACCAAAACAAGAATATAAGATTTGTAAGGGGAGAGAGAAGAATTGTTATTTGCTGATGAGATGATTATTACATAGAAAATGCAAAAGAATCTTTAGTCAAAAAATTAGAATTAATAAGAAAGTTAAGCAAAATTGCTGGATACATGATTAAGGAAAAACCTTCAAAGGCATCTCTATAGAACAGCAATACCATCTGTAACACATACTTGAAAACACGATGTTCCTCATCACTGTCACAAAATGGTGGCGTGCCTGGAAGGAAATTCACCAAATGTTCAAGACCATCGTGGAGAAAATGTGCACAGTATGCACAAAAGATCTAAATAAAGAGCTATCTTGTTCATGGATGAGAAAACTAATTTTCCTTGTCATTTCTCCCAAACTAATCTATAACATTAATAATCATAATAAGAGCAGCTAATGTGAATTGGACTTTACTATATGTCATTTGTTTTACTCCCCCAAATCCTCAAAACACTCTTTGAATTAAGTTCTATCAATATGCCCATTTTTCAGATAAAAACTAAAACATAAAGAGGTTAACTTCAATGAAATACAATCAAAATTCCAGGAAAGGGTTGTGTGGAACTTGAAAAACTGATTCTAAACTTCCTGTGGAAGAGAACGCAAGAATATAAGAGAGTGACAAGAATCTGTCCACACGTCTGTTGGTCCCTCTCCTGACAGCGCTGTACTACCTCAGCTACTCCAGCTTCAAAATGTGCCTGGGTGTCTGCTCGGGCGTCCCCTGCCCTGTGCTCCCTAGATTCTTGCAATTCTCTCGTATTCTCGCCCGTCTCATAACAAGGGGGAAGGGGGGAGGTGCTACAGACCATGTGGCAGCACTGTCAGCCCTCTGGGTCCACGCTGGGGCGCTCGGCCTTTCAGGATGGTTTTCGAAGAATGGGGAGCTGGGAGGAGGTGTCAGGAAGCCCCTGCCCCAGTGTAAGTTAGTGTTGTAGGTTCAGTATCTTGAAGTCTTACCCTGTGTCTTTGTTTTGAGGTTTACATTGTTTTATGTGGTGAAAATGGACTTTCAGAACCCAAGGAGCTCTACTGTGCAGAGAAGCCCCTCTTTGAAAGGAATTCCAGACACACCTTTATCCTGAGGTATTCCGAAATATTCTCACTGCACAATTTGAGAAAGAGCGGCCAGTCAGAACTGGTGTAGCCTTATCACAATCCAAAAAAGTAGAAATACAGAACATTACTTTCTACTAGGGAGCATCAGTTTACACACAAGCAGTTTTATAAATTGTCTTTACAGTTTGTTATTGAAGTAGATTAAATGGTATGTTTATGTACAGGAAGGAAGGAGGGGGGTGGGGTAGAGGGATTTATTGATTTTACATGCTAGTAAAGTTCACAATCATTTTCTGTGTCATTGAACCTGTTTAAATTAATTAGATTCCTCCCACATTTGGAAGAGCAAGGACACCTGGCAATGCAGAGATGGTGGGGTTGGATGAAGAGGGATAATTTATCAAGCTAGGAGTACAAGCACCTGATGATGTTCTCAGAAAATACAAAAGAAATGAATATTTTTCTCTCCTGGAATATTTCATTTATAATATTTATTGGTTTGGAGTATTATGTCTTCATTAAGAGAGAAGTTAACTTCAGACTACCCCACACCAGACACGAATACATTCATGAGGTTTGAGTGCATTGGGCGTAGGGAACCAGTAGGTGTTGAAGAGCTGTGTGCGCCGCCACTGGGCTCCGCATGCCAGGAACGCGTCAGCTATTGACTGACGAGAGGGGCCTGTGGGAATTCATTGTCCTCTTCCTAGGTTCCCTAGCGGCTCTGTATGTCACTCTGCATGAGGTTTATTTGTTGACATGACCCACCCACGCCCTGAGGGCGAGAACCGGGGCTGGCGCTGCAGCCCAGGGCCCCACTGCCCCGCACCCTTGCCTGACAAGCTGCTGTGTGTCCTCAGTGCTCCGGCTCCCCTGGGCCCACTCCGGAAGCTCCGCCTCTGGCATGACGGCCGTGGACACTCTCCCGCCTGGTATGTCAGCCATGTGATGGTGAAAGAGCTGCGGGCAGGACAGGGACAGAGCTGGCTCTTCCCCGCCGAGTGCTGGTTGGCAGTGAGCAGGCAGGACGGCCGTGTGGAGCGGGAACTGGCCTGCCTGACCCGGGGCCTCGGCTTCCGCAAGGTGGGTGGCATCCAGTGCCCTCGTGTGGCATCCCTGGCTGACTGGCAGAATGCTGTGCCTAGCTCTGCTTCTCTGGTCAGTTGTTTCTTTAAACTCTCGAAAGTTAAGTGTATTCGCTCTTTTCTTAGTATCAAGATGGCTGTGTCTTAAATGATGCATCAGTTAAGTGGCCATTCAAGCATGGATTAATTATTACTAGTTATTAATTATTGTCGCAATGTTTTTCTTCTTTTAATTGTAGCTATAATAACACTTACAAACTTTGTGGTTGCCTGTGGTCTGTGGTGTCCAGGGGGCTGCTAATTTATTAAAGACTTTTGAGTGCCCTGTGTATATCCTGACATGGAGATAACAGATAAACAGGATACAGGCGTGATCAGGGCTTAATGGCAGAGGATCATGAAAAAAGACAAAATCCTCTATAATCTCACAAACTAACCATGAAACTTGATCTTTGCATGTTCCAGTCTTTCTCTATATATGAATATGTTTTATGCCGTTGTAACAATAATGCTGTGCATTTTTGTACTAATTTAACATTTTAGAGTAAATTCCTTCATAAATTTTCTATAAAATCGTTTTATAGAAGGGCCATATAATAGGCCATCATGCACTATTCTTTGCTTAAATATCCACCTCTTGGACGTTTCTAATTCTCTTCCGTTTATTTTCGTAATGGAACACACCTATATGCGTGCCTTTGTGTTTCTGGAGCACAGTTTCTTAGGCTGGTCTCAAACAGGGGTAGGCGGTCAGTGAGAGTGGACATTCTCCCATTTCACTAGATCTTTCTTTCTAAGGTGTCCCGTTGCCACCTGCTGTGGGTGAGAGGACCAGGCTCACCACTTTGGCATATTCAGTCTTGACATTGTGAATTTAGTAAGAAAAACGATCACAATGAATTTTCAATGAGCTGCAGCAAATGGAAATTCTTCAGCACCTAACACTGAAGGCCTGATTCAGCTGGGACTTTCCTTTAGACAATTATTTCTATGTAAATAACTTTGTTTGTTCTCCAGCTGTTTCGCTTGAGAACATCCCCCACCCACAAAGCCCCAGTAGATAGCTGTATGTCACAGCTGCACATCCTTCTAGTTGCTGTATGTGGGACGCGGCCTCAGCATGGCGGGAGAAGCGGTGCGTCGGTGCACGCCCGGGATCTGAACCCGGGCTGCCGGCAGCAGAGCGCGCTCACTTAACCGCTAAGCCACCGGGCCGGCCCACACTTGAGAAATTTTTGAGAGAAACCTGTACTTATTAATTTAGTCATATAGATACACATGTGGCTGTGGGCTATGAATCAATGCTGTACCCTTGTTGGGCAGTCCATTTATATGAAAATATATTCTCATCCCATTAAACCTGTTTTGCTGGCATTTACTTTTATATTCTGCTGCTTGTCATTCTGCTTTTTCTAGAACAACACTGAGCACCAAGTGTTATTTGAGTTGAACTGAAACTTTTGAGCTCGGTGCAATTCCATAAGCAGCATGTCGCCCACCGCGTGGCTGATCTGCAGAGCTACTGAGGGCACAGAGGTGGACAGGCACGCGCTCCCAGCTCTCAGTGTGCTCAAAGCCCAGCAAAAATTAACTGTTGCCAGGGAACGTGCTGAGAATGGAGGGTTAGTAAAAGTCTGTTAGGAACACAGAGGAGAGACGTGATCGATTGTACCAGGTGAGGGTTTATAAATAGAGGGTTTATAAACCCTCTAGAGAGAAGGGCATGAAGGCATTTTAGGGTAAGACAAGCGTGGCAGAGGGACAGCTTGTCCCAAAGCTCTGGGGGCCCCAGCAGAAGGTCAGGGCGAAGGGCTGCAGACGAGGCTGGAAGCTAGAGCCAGCTGCAAAGGGCCTGGGGCTAAGGAGCTGAGATAGGAGAGCCACGACACTGTGTCATCTCCACTCCGGAAAATGACTGATTGTCAACCGTGATTTCACGCTGTTTGTTTGAATGCCCAACTGAGTGTTTCTCGTTCGGTTGGTTTCAGCTTCTGTATGCAAAGTTCACGGAGTATCTGGAGGACTTCCATGTCTGGACCTCTGTGCTCAGCCGGCCCTCCTGCAGCACCTTCCTGCACACCCCACGCCTCACCGTGGCCTTCACCTTGCTCTGCTCCTACTCATGTCTTGCCGCCCTGCTCACTGCTGTAGGACAGGAGCAGGTAGGAGGCGCTGGCTTCCTAGTCCCAGACCTACAGTGTGACGCCTTCTTGACTCAGGAATTAGCAAAACTCACAGTCTGCAGAGAAAGGTTTATGCAGGGGAAGAGAGCCTGTGGGCCTCAAGGGCCCGGCGCGATGTGGGCCTGGAGGGAGCTGGAAGGGGTCTGCTGGGTGGGGGGCTCTGGAGGAAGCAAGCGCAGGCCTGCCTCAGCTGACTGCTGCCTTGTGGGAGCTCATGCCCCCTGTGCCACAGAGCATGACACCTCCACGGGTGTCAGCAGCCTGCAATGTCTGCTGAGAGTGCTTTTAAACTTTTGTATAGGGTTGGCAATTAATTCAAATTAAACATCCTCTAACTGAAAAAACAGAACAGTTCTGATAGCCACATTTGCACTTGAGATGCCCATTTGCGTTTCTGGTCTAACAGTCCCTCATGAGATGTGGAGATTAATTCTAAATCAGAGCAATCAGTTAGAATGGAGACGCTGCCTTTCCTGAGGAAAAAATCACAGCATGACTTTTGGGGTGAGGGAAAACAGTCAAATTTGCTTCTTTTGACAACCTCATGGCCATTCATGGGCCCCCCCAGTGGCTGGGAATGTGGTGAGGGGTCCATTTCAGAGGTGGGGTTCAGCAATGCGTCCACCAGAGAGCACGAGTATTCAGAGTGCGTGTGATAATAGTAATGGATTGGCAGAATTTTTTAATAGACTGACGTGTGTAGAATTTGTAAGAAAATGATGAAGAAATATCATCAAGTAGCAGGAAGGGAACAGCTGTGTCTAGCTGGGACAAGAATGGGGCCTGCAGTCAGGACACCTAAGGTTGCCCTCTCCTCTGAGGTCAACTAGTTGTCTGACCGTCTCTCTGCTTTGTGCTCAAGGTATTGATACCTTCTTGTCTGACTGTGGTAAAGATTACGTCAGCTGAGCATGTGGAGTGCCTGGCATAGAGTGGGCACTCCTTAGACGTTTGTGCAATCCAAAAAGATTTGTACAGGAGAAAAAACAAAGGATTTCTTATGATCTTTCTTTTTTTTTTACTCCTGGGATAGAAGGTCAAAGATTCAGTGAGAGAGAACTTTGGCTAAATATAAAGTATATCTTCACATTAAATACCTTTGTGATTACAAAATGACCATGTGTTTTAAGTCGGACTTATTTCAGGTGATATTAGTAATGGCTGCTGTTGGGTTATTGCAGCTCACGTTGGATGTCGGCCCCTCCGATGTCACTCTTGGGTCCTTCTGGACGGGTTTCCTGTGCACCCTTCTGGCTTCTCCAGGGGCGCTGCTCTTGTCGCTGTTCTTCAGGCTCAGCCAGGTACCAGCGGCCGGTCTGCATGGCCCTGTTCTCCTGGGCGGCACCCTCATCGCCCGGACGCCCTCCCTGAACAACCTCCTTACATCTGCAGGAAGCCAGTGGGCCTCCCGGAGCAGAGCCGTGCTTGCCCCTGAGAGGAGTGCTGACGGAGGCAGCTCAGAGTAAGTGTGCACTTAAAAAAAGCTTAAAAGGTGATTTTGTTTGTTCTGAAATCACAGCAACAGGAAAATGATAAAGTCTGAAAGGAGAGAGTCGAAGACACTGGCCCATGATGGCTGATCCTTCTGGCTAGTCTACTGAGTAGACATTGTATGTCCTACTTTCCACTGCCCTGTGTTCATTAGGAGGAAAGTTGAGTTTCATTTCATGTTTAAAAGCCATTTTAATGGGTTGTCCAGGCCACACCAGGATGGAGATGTCGAAAGTCCTTGTTGCAGCCACATCCTATGTCTCAGGAAGGCCTGTCCTGGTGGAGTCAGAGGGAAGAGTATTTCCTGAAGAAAGTGCTCTACTCAGGAACCCTTAATCCCTGGTTTAACATAAGTTTGATTTTTTTATCAGGCCCTAATTCAAGTAGAAGGATGCCAGATGGACAGAAGACACACAAGGTAAATATAATTACACACAGCAGCTAATTCTCTGGCGTAAAACTCTAACAGTTATGTTTCTCTGGCCTCGCCTCTTGGCTGTGGCCTGATCACGGGTGGTCAGACCTAGGGTGGGATGGAGACGAGGGAAAGATGTGCAGGAACCCGCCATGCAGGCCGGGGCCACTGAGCAGAGGTGGGTCCTGTGGAGACAGATTGTCATTTTCCAGGATGCAGGCCAGGGGGGCAGTTGTTCAGGAGTCTCATCAGAGGCCAGACGGGAAGGGGGCGGCTAGCAAAATTTGGAAACCCATGCGTATACAGGCAGTGACATTTTAGAAGCTGGGCCTGAGGGGAGCAGGGTTGGCAAGTCCAATGGGAGAGACGCTGTGAGAAAGAGGCCCAGGTGTTGATTCGACCACTCCTCAGCCCCTGTGAGGGGGCCGTGGGAGAAGCTGCCCCCGTGCTGGGTGTGCTCCATTCCAGGCCTCAGATACACGGACCCGGCCTGTGACACAGGGCAAGTTGCAGGGCAGTTTCTAAGTAGTTCTCCACATCATCACTTTGGATCTGGCGGATTGTACCTTTAGCTGAAGTCTGACTCTTCTCTGTAGAAGCGTTTTTGGGCACATGTGATTCCTTATGCTTTCCGATCTCTAACTCCCGTTCAAAGCCTGTTGTTAAGTGGGGCGCTCCATCCCCAGGCTTGTGTTCCAGGCCTGTTCTCTCCTCTGCTCCTCCTGCTTGAAGCATGTCCGTTCCCCATACCCATTCTGGCTTTCTGCCTTTCCACCTTGAGCCTTGCCCAGCCCACTTCTCTGGCCAGTCTGTGCTCTGGCATTGTCCAGGTGGGCCTCCCAGTGGGCGGGTGCACAGTCACTCTTGGCTGCATGGAGCCTGTTAGTACTCCATCATTGGCTGTGCAGGGTGCAGAGGAGCTGGGCCCTGGGCTGCCTGTGCTTCTTTGCCAGAATCCATCCCCAGGCCTGATGCTTGACAAAGTTGGCTGGGCCATGCTCGAATCCTGAGGAGGCTCACAAACCACGTTACTATAGAATATGGAAAACTCTATGCATTGAGACATTAACCTCATCCTGACCTTGTCTTTTCTAGCATAACGTTCTCTCTGGGAGTGCTGGAGCCCAGAGGAGGGCGGCAAGCGGTGATAGTGCATGCTGTCCGCCCCCTGAGCTGGAGGCATGCAGGGCTGACCTTGGCCAGCTGGCTCCGAGGGAGAAGAGTGACCACTGCACTCTCAGTTTACAAGGGGACATGGGTGGTAGGTGTGCAACCCAACGCGCGGCATGTTGAGAGAGGCAGTGTGTGTGGAGCGGGAGTTGGGCCAAATGTGACTGAACGTTCTGATCATGTCTACACCAGGCCCGTCTGAAACTGAGGCCTCAGCTTTGTTCCAAAGTCCTGATGATTTCTGGCGTATACTTACCTAAGTTTGGTTATATCTTAAAAAAGTCAGTAATAGACTCTTAACTTTTCTTTAAGTTAAGAAATTTGAAGCTTCGCATTTTTTGATGCAAATTGGAGTGAATAATGTCCACAGCCGGCAGCTCAGCGATGAGCCAGTGGAGATGGAGTTGTGGGATCACAAGGGGCTGTGAGCCTGGAAGCGGATCCTCTGCAAACCGGGTCCCAGGAGGGCAGCCAAGAACCTACTCAGCAGCGTCCCAGAGGGGCCTCTCGGGCCTGGCCTGGCAGGGGCCTGTGGCTGCAGAGTGTTCTCGCGGCTCCAGGTCACCTAGGCCCTTGAGCACCGGGTTGGGGCGCTGGCCATCAGTGCTGCTCTGTGGGACAGTGGTCTGGAGGCCAGGTCTGGTTGGGCCTATGTGCACAGCGTCCTTCACTTTTTTAGGCAGGGGTGTAAAAAACCTGGTTTCCGTGAGTGGGTGGGGCTTCAGGTAGGTGGGCAAGTCCTCAGTGCCGGCACCAGTACCAGCCGGGAATTGGAAGGCAAACGTGCCCCAAGGATGCTAGCCACACAAGACAATTAGACACACGCACGGGGCCAGAAGGGGAGGGCCCAGGAGTGCAAAGGCTCACGCCTGACAGACCAGATGCAGACAAGGTGTCAAGAAAGTACTATGGCTCAGTACTGCTCTGCCATCCCAGCTGTTAAAAAACAAAATTCAACTGAGTACGTTTTAAAGATCTTGTTGGCTTTATTCAATGATTTATGAACCGAGCAGCATCCGATCTAGCAGATAGAAAGGAGCTCCGAGGAGCTGTGCCAAATAGAAGACTTTGATAGGCGGAGGAAGCGGGAACGAGGAAGCTGCACTAGGCAAAAAGCAGATTGGTCATTGCAAGGTCACCTTCCTTAGGGGACGGCAGGGGTCACTTCCTTAGGGGTCAGGCAGATGACCTCACTAGTGCTGACCAGGTGATTCCTGACTGACTGGCTTAAGATTCCATTTCTGGGAGACCCGAAACTGTAATTAAGTCAAGTCTCGGTTGGTGACGTGGGGCTTAGCGTAAGTGACTCCATTTTGGGCTTGTCATCTTACTTTTATTTTTATTTTTTTTGGTGAGGAAGATTATCCCTGAGCTAACATCTGTGACAATCTTACTCTATTTTGTATCTGGGACGCCACCACAGCATGGCTTGATGAGTGGTGCCTAGGTGCCTAGTAGTGCCTGATCCACGCCCAGGATCCGAACCAGCAAATCCTGGGCTCCCAAAGCGGAGCATGCAAACTTAACCACTATGCCACCGGGCCGGCCCTGTTGTCTTATTTTTAACATGTCCTTGTTTTATGTGCAGTGTGTGTCCCTTGTCTGCCTAACGCCAGGTTCCCTATAGGCGAGCGCTGCTCAGTCGCCTAAATTCACTGTGTCAGGTTGCCCTAGAACAACATTGCCTTCTGCCTCTGGATGTGCCCAGGTTGGGATTTACCTAATCACCTGAGAAAATGGGGCTCCAGACCCTCCACTTGGAGACAAAGAAATGTATGGGGGTAACCCTCTGCTTACACACTCGGCTCCAGAGAAACTACACAACAGTGAATGGGAGTCGCTGCTTACCCGGGAGAGGCCCCCTGCTCTGCCCTGACCCCTGCCCTCCTGCCCACTCCTCCTTGCTATGCATAGTGAAAAATATAAATTGTGGGGCAGAGAGAGGAATGGACTAGAGCCCAGACTGTGGCATAATTTTGGTGGACAATACTGACTGTACACAGCACTTGGCTCTGAGAATGACGGCATGAGATGGGGCCCCATTTTCATCCAGGCTGGAGATGACGGTTACTAAATGCAATTGTCTGCCATGTAGACCCAGCAACTCTAGGCAGAAATGCTAATTCCGTAAGCTGTGAAACTTGTGAAGACAGTGTTAAAAACACAAGATGCCAGTTGTCGGTGAAGAAGGCAGAGGGATCACGGCGTGGTGGGCTTGTCAGACGAGATGGAAGTGGGAAGAGAGTAAAGACCCCTCTGTAGTAAAATCATGACTCTGGGTATTAGTCAGGGTTCTCCAGAGAAGTAGAACCAATAGATATGTGTAAATATACGTAGAAAGGGATTTACTATGAGGAAGGCTCATGCGATTATGGAGGCTGACAAGTCCCAAGATCTGCAGTTGGCAGGCTGGACACCCAGGAAAACCAATGTTTCAATTCACATCCTAAGACAGGAAAAAGCCGATGTCCTAGTTTGAAGGCAGTCAGGCGGAGGAATTCTTTCTTAACTCAGGGGAAGGTCAGCCTTTTTGTTCTATTCAAGCCTTCACCTGATTGGATGGGGCCCATGCACATTGAGGAGAGCAATCTGCTTTACTCAGTCAAACGTTAGTCTCATCCAGAAACACCCAGGATAATGTTTGACAAAATGTCTGGGCACCCCACAGCCCAGTCCAGTTGACACATAAAATTAACGACCACACTCGGGTGGATGGAAATGATGGGCTCTGTTAACATGTGTGCCTCTGCCTGTTCTTCCTTAGCCCGTGGTGGTGGGTTTGAAGGACTCACTGCTCCCCGGTGGCCGAGGGGACCCCTGCCTTGGTCCGGCTCTGCAGCGTGGGTCCTTTGCGGGATGGTGTCCATGGCCTGTGGCTTGGGGACGGGATTTCTAGGATACAGGTGAGCTGTAGAGGTTTTCAGGTATCCTCAGGTCTTGGATGGAAGGTCTAGCATTTATAAGGAAATCCCTTTGTTTCTGGGAACTCAGGTGTGGCTATTGCTGTCTTAGTCCTCATTCCCGCACCCGCAACCGCCTGGGGTGAAGAGAATTATGTGCAAACCCAAAGGGTTAGTGGAACTGGCGCGCTCTGGGACGGCAGCCCAGCCTGGCTGGGGTCTCGGGTGTTGCAAGAAGCCACAGGACCCTCAGGAAGGAGGGAACCCAGCTACTGAGCTCTCGAGAGCGCCGGCTTTGAGCCAGGTGCTCAGGCGAAGAGCATGTCCTTACTCATCTCTGTCATTTGAAAAAGCAGACCCCTGTGAGGCAAGGATTGCTGCACATATGTCATAGATTCCGATTCTGTCCCACCACACCGCTGCCTCCGGGTCTGGTTCCTTGGGCAGCTCAGGTCCACCATCAGGACCCCAGGTAACTCAGTGTGGCTTCCGTGGGCCCACGTCTTCCTATACCATGAAGAGTAACCACAAAACCAAGATACTTTCCTCCCAACTCTTTCTTTTCTTCCAGTTGCGTGTACTGAATCACTGTGATGATGGGCAAGTTACTTAAAAAGCCCCCGTGCCCCAGTTTGCTCGTCTGTGAAACAGGAGTATT